GTTCGCGGAGCCTTCCTGACGCCCAGGACCGTTACCGACCCCAGTGGGTTTGACTCCTGCCAGGTCCCCTCCGCTGTCGCCCGCAGTCGTGACCGCGACGCCTCAAAGTTGACCGTTAGTGTACTCTCCGGTTTGATGCTCTCGCCGTCATCCAAGTACAGGTCTCCCGTAGCCGTGCCGTCCGTCCCCAACGCCACCAGCAGCGACCATGGCGACTTGCGTGCCTCGCGCGTGGTCAGCGCGGGCTCCTGCAGGGGAAGCACGCTGCCACCACGGATGTACACCGGGATGTGGCCTAGAGGGGCGGGGATTGTGGTGTTTACGCCAGGCTTCGCGTCTACTGCAGTCTTCGTGTACCAGTCGTACCACACCTCACCGCGGCCGACGCCAGGGAAGACGCCCTTGACGGTTTTGGCCTGCGGCTCCAGCACGGGCACGACCATGACGGATGGCCCCACTAGGAACTGCGTAGCGACGTCCGCCAGGGTCGGGTCATCTGGGAACTCCCAGGCCAGCGCACGCATGACAGTCGACCCTGTCTCGTGGGCCTGCTGCATCAGCGTGTAGAAGTACGGGAGGAGCGCGTAGCGGATGCGCATCGCCGACTTGGTGGCGTCGATGACTGAGGCCCAACGGTAAGGCTCCTGCGGGATGGCAGAGAGCACGTTGTGGTTCCGGTAGAAGGGGAAGAACGCCGACAGCTGCATCCACCGGTTGCAAAGCTCTTCATCGGCATTGCCGTTGAACCCGCACGTGTCGACGCCGAACATGGGGATGCCAAACAGCGAGAAGGACAGGGCCTGGGAGATGGAAAAGTACATGGACCCCCACTTGGAGAAATTGTCACCCCCCCAGTGACCTGCGTACCGTCCCGAGCCCGAGAAAGTTGACCGCGCGATGATAAACGGTCGTTTTCCGGGGAATACTTCCAGCAAGCCCTTGTAGGTTGCCTTGATGCCCTCGTGGCCGTACAGGCTGTGCACATCGTACTCTTGGACCCCATCCACATGGGTGGAGTTGGGCGAGATGGCATGCACGGCCAAATCGTGACCGGTCTGCACGTGGTTAATCACGTACGGGGGGTGGTTCACGTTCCGGACCCCCGGGGTGGGAGTGGTCCGCAGGTACGACGTAGTGGTGGAGGAGGTTGTCGGTTGGGCAGCCGCCTGGCTGGATGAGCTGGCCGAGGCGGCGGCAGCCTCGGTGGCGTTGGTCACCTCGAAGCCCTCGGGATAGTCATACAAGACATTGCCTGGCTCACCCGGCAGGGAGAAGGGCGGGTGTGCGGGGTTCATGGTCAAGTTCCCGGTGCCACAGCTGCCGACGCAGAAGGACGATACCTCGCCCATGTCGTACCAGATGCCGTCGTACGCCAGCTTCTTGTACCAGGTGACCAGCTCATTGGCCCAGAAGGCAGCCGCTTTGAAATGGGACCAGTCCGGGTACACGGTGTACCCGGGCCACACCGCCCCAATGTACAAGCTTCCGTCGGGGTTTTTGATGTACAAGTCATCTTTGGCCCCTCGAGTATAGGTGTCATAACTGTAGATATCAATCAGCTGTGTCCGTGAAAACAGAGGACTAGAACGTAGTAGAATAATACTCACGCGTCAGATGCATTTTCTGGGTTCGGGATATACAGTGCGGCGTCCACAATGGGCACCCAGCGACGGCCCCCGTCATGGAGCTTGTCGAGGAACTTCGCGCCCTCCTCGTAAGAGAACCGGTTCTCATCGTTATCAAAGTTCCGGTACCCATGCATGTAATCAATATCCGCCCTATCAATGGTCAGTTATGCGCCAGTAGATTCATGAAATCACATACCAGAGATATTCCAAGGGAATCTCAAATCGCTCAAAGTTGTCTACCACGTCTTGGAATTCGGACCAGTTATTGTACCCCCAACGGCACTGGTGAAACCCGAGGGTGTTGTACTGCTGCATTGCCGGCAGCCCCACGGTACTCAGCTGGTACTGCTTGGTCACATCGGCCTGGGTGGGCCCGGCATAGAAGGTCAAATCGATGCTGCCGCCCAGCGTGCGCCAGGTCAGGCCCTTGGAGCGCAAGAGCACCTCGTGGCCATGGGCATTTCGCAGATACACACCGTGCGAGAAGGAGACATATTCCTTGGTGCTATCCGCTTCGCTAGCCTTGACCGGGGTATAGTCCCCGTCACTCCCCTTGCGGAAGTACCGGGTATCTAGATAGAATGCATGGTGGCCATAGATATTACTACTGACCATCAGCACAGTCCCTTACAGATGTTGTGGCAAACTTACTCATCGACGGGATCGGCAATATCCGCGGCATACGTAGTCAATGTCGAATTCCGCAGAAGCCGGAGCTGCGTCATGCGCTCTCCCAGCCCGTACAGGTTGTACTCGTCTGGGAGGGAGGTGACGAACTCGACAAACTGGTTTTCGTAGACTAATACAGAGCCTGCGGTATTGAACAAGACATCCCCGGTGGCGCGCCGGGTGACCTTGAAGTTGAAAGAAGGCTCGTTGGACCATTCCACCTGCAGCTGACCGCGGTGGCCCCACCCTTTGGTTGACGCTTGAGGTCGTGGGACCAGTGCCTCCGAGAGGACGTACCAGGACTGGTTGGAGGCATCTACGTGGGAAGGGGTGATGACGATGTTCAAACGATCCTCTGCCTGGTACTCAACCGATAGAGACAGGGAGTCGACGTCATCACCGTACACATTGCAGGGCTTCCCTGCTAACTGTAAACTGGCCGTGAAGCCATGAGAAGTGTGCTCGACCCCTGATGCCTTGTAGCCTGGGCAAACCGATTGCGCATTGACAGCCTTGGGGTCATCAATGTTGGCAATCAATTGGGCGCCAACATCCGCAGAGGCGGGGATGGTGAACTGGGGGGATGTGGCGGGGGTGGTCAGAGTGGTGGCGTATACCAGCGGCGCTATAGCCAGCCATGCTGTGAGGGCGACCATGATGATGTCGACCGTGTGTGGTGTGTGGATCAGGTATTTGGGAGGGATGATCATTTTATATTTTGACCCAAAAAGGGCAGGGTCAGAGACACAGGAAGCGACAGGCCCAACATCCCTGCTACCGCGATATTTCTCCGTCCAACCTCCGAGCTATGGCAAGTAAGGGGGGGTGATCGAGTTGAAGCAATCGGGAAAATTGGGGGGGGGGGGGGGGGGGACTTCTTGGAGAGGTTCGGCGGGCGGGGAGGAGTGGGGTAGATCCTATACTAGCAGACTAATACACGAAGCCGAAAGTCAAACAGACCTCCAATGCAGCAGTCGAATTATTAGCGCATGTCCATATCGACGGTAAATCGAGCTAAAGATCATAAGTTGGCATTGGCGATGATCTTTCTTAGTCCATTCACATCACCCTAGCGTCGTATGCAGGGAAGGATGGAAGTGTTCGATGCAAGGAACAGAGACCGGTCATGGACCAAGGCTCGCCTCAGAAAGCATCCGATTCGACCATGATGCTTGGATGCAATTTCACAGCTCACCAGGATGCCATGGACAAGTTGTAGATGGTGTCTGAGATGACGACGATCGTGATTTGACTTGACAGGGCGGAGAAGTGGAGTCAGGTGGAGTCAGGTGGAGTCCCGTGAGCGGGGCTCGGAATTATGTTCCCCAACAGGTTAGATCGGTTCGGTCCGAATATGTAGATGACTCAGCAACGGGACCGGGGGTCGTCTGATTCCGGCACGTGGATTGGCCACTTCTCCGGTAAATGCCCGAGAGTGGATTCGGTTGGAGATGAGGATGGACTGATTCACTCTCTTCACCCTCATCCTCGTCGCGTTGACCCCTGCTCAATACAGTTGAGGTCCATGTTCTCTTCATCAGTCCTGCACAGGAATGGAACTAAGATAGTCTGTTTAGGCTGCCGGTGAAGTCCAACTTGGATCAAATCAGGCAACTGCCCTCTAAGTCTCCACTCCCTCTAGGTTTCATATGGGAAGTTACTGGCCAGGGCTAGGACTCTCAGGCCAAGGTCTCCTCAAAGGCCAAGGGTTCCTCGTATCGATCGACTCCAATCACACCGCATCGGCTAGACGATGCTCCATATTTATTTTGGTTCCTCATACTGCTCGGCTTCCCGACTCTGCTCATCCAATCATTCCCCCCCCCCCCCTCCAGCTGTGGAAGGCTATCTCGGTCAGCCATGGCATGCCATGCCAACATTAACATCCTTCTAGATGCCCGTGCGGCTGCAGGGAATTGTTCTAGAAAATAACGCAACCCGTGTCCCTGCCGATGGCGCTGTGTAGAAGATCCTTCGAACAATGCTAAACCCCTGAAGGGCCAACGGCATTGCACCGTCAGGCCGCCCTCCATATCCTTCCCCAGATCCACCGCATCCGAGTGGTCCTCCTGCCTTTTCAAGGTAATGATGAGCACTATACAGGGTCGTGGCGCAACTATCCCGCGTTGTCTTGAGGGGTTCTCCTCAGCCTGGATAGCGGATGTCTGTAGTCCATCGTCCATCTAGCATGGCCCGATTCGAGTAGGAGTCCAAATTTCATTGGACTAAGGCGATTCGGCAATAGGAAGGTTGGTAGGACTCGGTACTAGTGCTAGGTGCCTCCCCTAGTGATGGCGACGAATGCACTCGAAACCGCCGCTAATCCCAATAGAGATCCTTCCCCTCCAGCTGCCATGGACGATGGACCAGCCATTATTTAATATTTGTATCCCCAGGGCCTCGCAGATAACGCGGGGTGCTTGCAGCCTGGAGAACCAGGCTATCCCGCACTCTTTCCCCGGATCTTTTTCCATCCTCTCTTTTACTTTCTCGACTATTATTACCATTGCTACCTGGCTCGACGGCCGGCTTCACTGTCCACGCCAGCCACACTCTCTTTATTTAGCCCCCACGCCACTGGTCATGGGCCTCAGCCACCCTGTCCCTGACCCAAAGTTTTCTGATCATTCATCGTGAAACTACTATGAACCTGTGCCTCCCCTGGAGAAAGCGTTAGCAACCAGTCCGCTTGCCGATCTAGAGATGGCCTCGCCGATTTCCAAACACAAAGCATCCAAGCAGGCGTGTGACAATTGCCGCCGTCGCAAAATCAAATGTTCGCGCGAACTGCCGTGCGACAAATGTCAGCGTCTCCTTCTCTCCTGCTCCTACAGTGACATCCTTCGCCGCAAGGGTCCCAAGTTCCGTACTCTGTATCCGCTAGCCCCCATTCACCCGCTCCGATCGCGACACGGAGAGGATGTCCAGTATGGGCAACCCCCTTACGCGGTCGAGAAGGAATGGCCCGCAGACACGATGGGCTACCCGATCGAAGGGTCGCCGACGTCGCCCCCCTTCCCGATCACCGACTTTCATTATCCCGCGGCGGAATTTACCGATTCTTTCACTCAGCTCCCACCACCGGAGCTGGTCTCCTCTCCGGACTCGACGAATTCGCTGTCGGGATCATTTTCTGGGTTCCCCTCCCCTTACCCGCGACGACTGACCGCGCCGGTTCTATTGGCGCATATCAATGTGTATCTTAAGTATCTGTTTCCAATCATGCCAGTCGTGCGCAAGGAGCCGCTGCAGCAGGACTGCCACCAGCCGGAACGCCTGACGGCTTCGCGCTATGCGTTCCTCGCCTCACTCTGTGCAGCGACGCACATCCAGCTCAAACTGGATGGTGCCACTCCCGTATCCGGTCCATCTCTTATGCACATGGGCCTTGACGGCCCCTCGGCGATGTCGGGAGAGGAGCTCCTGGCGGAGGCGGTCCGAGCCCGGAAGGACTGCGACGTGGTGGATGAGATGACCGTTGAGAATCTCCTTACCTCGTTCTTCCTATTTGCCGCGTACGGAAATCTGGACAAGCAGGACCACGCGTGGTTTTACCTCTGTCAAGCGACCTCCATGGTTTTCACTCTGGGCCTCCACCGGGAGTCTACTTACTCCGAGATGAATGTCGAAGAGGCTGAAGAAAATCGACGGATTTTCTGGTTGTTGTTTGTCACCGAACGGTAAGCGGCCCTCCTTCCACTGCCTGTACGTCCATCTAGGTTCTTGAGCTGACTCCAAACACAGAGGCTACGCACTTCAACAGGCGAAGCCCGTCATGCTCCGCAACTCCATTCATAAACCGCAGGTTCTCTGCTCCGAAGACCCAATCCTCGCCTACGGTTTCATCAACCTCATTAGCGTCTTCGAGAAACTCACGGTCAATCTCTACGACTGGGTCTCGGCAGGCGCTGGCGGTAACGTTGATGGAAATAGCAACACTGGCGGTGGCATGCCCCCGACCTCATCCATCCAGTCCAGCCTCGCCAAGTCGGTCTCGCTAGAGGGTGTCTCGGAAATCCAGAAGGTCGACATTCTCATCACACAGCAATGGCTCCAGGCCATGATGTGGAAGTTGTCCATGGCGCGCGCAACGCAGCCCGGTGGCATGCTGCGCGACCATGACGGAGTCCTCCCCTTTCACCTACCGGTCCTAGTGGGTAAGGCTGTCATGGGAGTGATCGGCGCGGCCTCTCAGGGCGCGGTGGATGCTCACGGCATTGGAATGGTACGCATTGCTCTCTAGCGTCTTCCCCTCTCGGCGCTACCCCAAGTACTAACGGCAATTGGCAGGAACAAAAACTCTTCGACCTTGGCACCTCCGTGGCGGACGTTTCCCGCTCACTTAGCCCTAAGGCCTCAAGCCGTCTCTCCCAATCTGCCGTTGACCCACGCCAACTCCTCTGGGGCATTCTCACTACGCTGTCACGGATCCGTGGGTCGCAGTCCCACCTCCTGCCGGTGCTGTTAGAACGAAGCAGCGGGGTGTTGGGCATGGCCGGAAGCGGACCTCTCGCCACTAGTAGCTTTCTGATGGATCCTCCAGCAGACACTACGCCTACGGACAACACACCCACGCCATGGGACAAGGTTGAGCATCAACAGCCGCAGCAGCAACAACAACAGCAAGAATCACATCAATGGGAACTAGACCCTGACCTCGACCTCGATCTCGACCTCAATACAGTCGATGTTGGGCTCAGACTTGCCGACGAACACGGTCCTAACAGCACAGCCACTGTCGCTGCCAACACGGTCGAAACCAACAATAATGGCAATGAACCTGACCTGCCGCAACCCTCCAATGCAGTGCATATGGTAGCGGACCACGTCCCATTCCGCAACATGCACCATAATCCGGAATTCCCGCCCTTCCGCTGGAAAGAACAGCCAGCACACTGATTTTCTTTTCTTTTCTTTTTTTTTTTTTATTGACTGATTGATTTATCGATTGACCGACTGATGCAACGCGACCATGTACAAACTTAGACTCTCCCACATGATACCTACCTCCTTCCGAGTTACGTCTCTTTCTGGTGTCGTTTCTGTTTCTTCTGTTTGATATCTGGTTGATTTTATGGTGGTTTTATATGGTGTTCAATTAGATGTATATACTCTTAGATCTGTTTATGGCGATTATTGGCTTCTTTGAATTTTGAATAAACACCATGATCACGACATACATAGATAGTTTGTACTACTCCTTCGTATCATACTACCTACCTACCTCCCTGCCCAATTCACCCTCCATCTTTCCTCCACCTTCAACCCCGCCCCTTTCTCAACGGGAGGAAGGCTGACATACACCTGGCGCAAAAGCCCGACACCATCTCCAATGAGTCACCCCTTGCGGGCCTACGCTGTGTACAGTCTCATAGCGAGAGCACGTCCCTATACCCCACGGGGTGTCTCAGGGCCGCGAGCGGACGCCAAAATACTTCTATTTCAACTCTTAACATCTCCGCGGAACCCGACAAGACGTCCGCGAATCCTCCAACTCCAACCACTCCTCCCTACCTCCCCATCTCCCCTAAACAGACACCCAAATGGATAACTAAACAATCAGAAACAAGACCAATCGCCAAAACCAAACAAGCGGCCCATGCCCAAGACATGACATCACGCCACAGCTACACAAACCCAGGTTCATACTCAGCCAAGCAGCCAGGCAGGTACGCTCAGGTCTAGCTCCACCAGCGCCGTCAGAAAATCTCCGAACCCCCAACCATTTACCCTGCACTAACTCGCGTTCCACCCTGTCACGGCTCACCTTCGCCCGTGTTCTAGTCCTTCCTTGCTTGCTTTTTCCTGTTTTCTGACGAGATCTAAGCCCCGGTCCCTGTCCTCGCCCTGTCCCTGACCCTGACCCTGACCCTGGACTGGACACTATTGATGACGTGCAAGCGTGGTGGGTGGCTGCTTATTTGCCTCCGCGTTGCAATACCATACTAGATCGGAGTAATGCGTCGCTAGACGGTAGCAGCTGAGCTAGTCCCGCAATGAAGGGAGGAGGGGGTGAATCCAAGATTAGTATATGCGGGGGTAGCCCGGTCTAGAGTAAACTTGCTTTTTGACTAAAACGCCAACTAGCCTGATGAGCTAAAGATTAGTTAGTTCATTACTGCCTCTCGCTTCGTACTTGCAGTGTCGATCTTAAAGCCTCATCCATCGTCTTTCTCGCTAAATCCTTCGCTAGCAGTTGTCCCTGTAGGGCGCGAAGAGGGCCCCACGTCTTTTTGTGCTAGCTGGATACAGACTGGCTGAGACGCAAGCGAAGTCTGGTTTGGTCACCAGAGGGGGGATGGAAGTGCCTGGCCTCTTGCGCTGGTTAAGGTTTATTAGGGGGGTTTTCTAGCTGGAACTGGTAAGGCGAGGCGATCGGCCTTTTTAGAGCCGTTGTGTCGGCCGATTCCGTGTCTTTGCCGAATAGCACAATAGGTTGACCATTGTATCAAGCAGTCAAGCAGTCAAACAACCGATACATCATGATCGCTACGCCAAAACGTTGACCAACTATTGGTATAGGGCTTAACCTGACTGATATTCTAACATATCACAATGGATGACTATAGGATCAAGCAGTCAAGCAGTCAATCAATCAATCAATCAATCAATCAACACACCACATATAATTTCCCATCCACTTAATAACTTTGGAACCAGACACCAAAATCCCCCACCACCCTCCCTACCATCATGAAACCGTTCATACTTGAAAGTCCCACTGACAGTCAGTAGGCTGGAAGACCACATGCAGCGGGTTCTCGCCCCTAGCATAAACTCTCTTCGTCCTCGAGTCCTCCGCAAGACCGCGCCATCCAGGCACTGGATCCGCATGGACCTGCCCCTTAAGCGAAACAATGAGATCATCACTACCCAGATGATTCCGTCCCGCATGCCCACTGATCTTAAGCCAGTGGTGCTCGCCATCAATGCCAGGGTAGGTGCCGAACGCGTCGCTGGCGACGAAGCCACCGGTGGAGATGGCGCTGGCTGGGCTTGGGACCGGGGCTGGGGTAGATTGAGCGAGGGTCGATGTTGCTAGGAGGACTGACGTGAGGAGATATTTGAGGATTATATTTGTTGACTGTGTTGCGAGATGATATAAATTAAGGGGATGTAGACAATTGGGAAAGGGACCTTGGGTTGGCTTAGGCCTATACTGGCTTGTCCCGCTTGACTTATAGTTCTATTGAATTATTCCTAGGGTGACAGAGTTCAAAATTTATAGTGATCTAGCAATGAAGATATGTCTTCTTATACTGCACTTCTTCCAGTGAGAAGAATTATTCATGAAATTGAAGAGAGATGAGGCTGCGGGCCCTTGTCATATGTATCCCATTTAGTTAAGCACCCCATATAAGGTCAATCCAAATAAATTGCATTAGTTGGTCCATAGAAAGTAAATAAGTTTACAATCAATTGAATATCATCGTCGGGGTGGTTATACATTCTAGATACCAAATATAGGTTAGCGTGTTGCTCATGTTGACAATTTGCTCAGTCATCTGCTTTCTCATGACTGCCATGTTTGGAATGTTACCCCGCGCTGATCTGAGTAAGAAAATCAAGACTCAAGACTTACATATTGTATGATAGCGGAGTCATGCAATTCGAATCAAGTGTGATTCCACGAGCATGTCTTTTTTCAAATTTAGGCTGGATGATTCTCCTGAGCGTTCCACCCTAGCCCCAATAACTGCTGCTGTGCCCCGAACGTCACCAGGGTGGCAAGATAGCCCTGTGCCGCTGAGGCCGCCTGCAGAATCTGTCTTCCGGGAGCCATCCGTCGAGGCAGCACGTAGTACAACACATTCAGCAACCCATGCAGGTAACAATGTGGAATTTTGTGTTCCTGGAACTGGCCCGAAAGCTCGTGACAGGAAAAGGTTAGTACAGTAACCTAGTAAGTTTGGGACTTTGGGGCCACGACTGATCTTTAAAAAAGCAGTATAGCACTTAAAAACCACCGAAAAAAAGCTGCCTGTACCGGATGTCAAATTTCCAAAACTCGTTGTGAAAATGCCCTTGGTGGATCAAAGGATAAATGCCGTCGGTGTTTGCGGCTGGGCAAGGAGTGCATCGTTCACCCGTCAATGCGACTACCATCAATCAAAGACTCTGCACAACAGTTTAATAGCTTACCAACGACTAGAGATATGCCATTGTCACATGGGCTATCATCATATCACCTTAAGAAAAACGGCAAAGAAGGGCTAGTTAGTGTTAGTTCTGACTTGGAGGCACAGGTATCTGCATCTTTTTCGGAAGGGTTTATCAAAGTCAATCAAGGTCAACGTCAGTCTGCAGAATACATTGACCCTTTTTTTCCCCCTTTTTTGGGGGGGGGGGGCATGGCTAATCAATCACGACAGTTTCACGGCCATTGCCAGATGATCAGAGAATACAGCTTGACTCTAAGATTAACTCTATTCTCACTACGAGAACGGCTGAACAAGTCTTTGACCAGTACATCAGCCACTTCGCCCCGAAATACCCGATTGTCGTGTTTCCGCCTGGGGCAACGGCTGCGATCGTAAGAGAGAACAAGCCGTTGCTATTCCTATCAATTCTCAGCATTGCCTCTGTTGGATACTGCACCGTGGCCAAGCAGAGAGAATTGGCAATTGAAGTAAAAAATCAACTGGCAGACAGAGCGATTGTTCGGGGTGAGAAGTCGCTCGAACTCGTTCAAGCGTTTCAGGTCACGTCGCTCTGGTACAGAGCACCAGATGAATACAGGCAGATGAACCTAAGCCAGCTGGTTCATATCACAACCACCATGGCCATAGATCTTGGGCTGGATAAGATCGATGTGTCAAAGCCCGCTGCCACGGCCCAGGAAAGCCGGGGTCGCGTAGAGTTACAGAGAGCGTGGCTCGGCTGTTTTCTTCTATCAGCAAGGTATATCCAGTTTCCCGCAATGCTCAAATACCCAAGGACTAATAGAATCCCAAGCTTCTCTTTAATTCTGAGACGGCCTAATCTTACTTTCTGGACCGCAAAGTTAGATGACTACCTTGCCAACTTGCAACAGACCAAGGCGGAAGCTACAGACGAATTCCTTTGCAATCTTGTAGCAACAGAGCGTCTTTGTCATGATATTAACCAAGAGCTGTTCTTAAGCGATCCTGTCCGGTCACTATCCAGGCAGGACCCAAAAACCCTGTTGATCATCCAAGGATTCCAAGATCGAAATGACTCTCTCTCTCTCGTCCAGCTACATTCACTGCAGAAAGGTGAGCTCCTTTGGAGATTATAATACATGACCGCCTAGAATACGGAGGGTTAACAGTCGCCTGCGCACTAGCTATCGTTCAATTTGGCAGATTTGCCAGCTCACTCTATGCGCATGAGCTGGCCTTGCACGTCAATAATAACATCGACGAGTTTACGGCACCTTTCTTTGCGAAGTCTCTAAAGACATGCAAATTCGTCGATTCAAACGCATCTCACCGATCCATGCTTCGCATTATCGTGATCGCGTCACGAGGACTTCTAGATACCTTTCTCGGGTTATCTGTATCTGATATGCTCGCCTTACCGCCGCATATCTACGGAGGTCGTGTGATATACGCAGTCGTGATTTTGATGAAAATCCACAAAACAATCACGCAATCAGGAAAGGAAACCAGCGAGTCCATCCCTTTGGAAGAATTACACCTAGAAGCGTATCTTGAGCAACTTGTGGCCATTTCGAAACTTCTTATCGCGAAAGATGAACGCAGCGCTTTGAGCAGGGCCTTCTTGATCATGCCTCAACTAATGGGGTGGTTCTACCTTTATTGGTCCAGAAGACCATCAGGGGCAGATGAATCAGAGATAACAGAAGATCTTTTAACCAAAAACAGCAAGGGACAAGGGAGCTCTGCATCCCAGGCACCGACAGGGACTTTCGGTGGTGATGATTGGTTCGCGGAGTTTTTCAACGTTGAGATGCTTGGCTAGCGTGTCGCTTTTTAGATAAGTGTATTGTTTTAGTACTTTGACACGAGGCTCCTGTATAATTACAATTCTATCATTTCTTGTTCCACATTTATGGGATCTATGTACACACTGGCAGCTCCTTCTAGTGCAATCTTGTTGAGGCTCTGTGGCTATTACTCCCCCACTCCCCCTCAATTGACCTGTTGCGAGTCCTGTACTTTAGAAGGATTTTTCACAGTTTGCCATTCGACTCCCACAGCACCAATGATGGATATGCAGGCTAGAACCAAGGTCACAAGAAAGACTTGGACGAGAGCGTCGTTGTAGACCCCCAATACACGATCTACCACACCCGTCTGGCTCAATGTGGCTTGCCTGACTGTTTGCTGGAGATCGCTTGCTCCAGACTGAAGGACGATAGCGGGGTTCAGTTCAGGGACCCTGGCAAGCATGCCAGAGATAATGTGACTGTTGAAAACATTTTGGCCCGCAGAGACGAAGATGGCGCCTCCGAGAGAGCGAGCAAAGACCACCAAAGACGTCCCGATGGAGACGTCCGTTTCCGGGAGGACTGTCTGAACAGCAATATTTGGCAGTTCGAGTCCGATACCAGCGCCCGCGCCGAAGACGATTTGAAATCCAAGCCTAGGGGTCGGTCAAGATAGGAACACTGGATGATGTCATTGGAAGGGGACATACCACATTGAAATGGAGCTGTCTACTCTGAAGAGGAGAAATAGACCCGCACCAATTGCCATTACTGTCGACCCTAAAATCATGAATGGGGTATAGTATCCAATGACAGTGACGCCTAGACCGCTTGCAATCGCAAATACCACTGCACTTATATTCAGTCTCCTGTGCCTTCTGCTTGATATAACATAGATGGACTGATATGGATGGGTGCACTCACCAACACTCAAAACTGTGGGCAGGTTATGAATCCCTGACTGAACAGCAGAATCGCCCTTGATTGCCTGGAACCTATTTTTCATGCTTGTGATTAGGCCAATTATGCATTGAGCGCAAAGATGTAAATGCCAGAACTCACCAGATCGGCAAATAGTAAACCAGCATTACAAATGACGCGCTGCCCAGGAATATATAAAAGGTTGAAAAGGCAACCGTGCGCTCTTTCAAGATGCGGAGCGGCACGGTAGCAGTCTCACCACCCATCCTCTGTGACAGTACCCAGGCAATGATAAGTACCCCGAATACCGTCAAAAGCGTTATCTGGTGATAATCACTCCACGGATACCGGCTTCCCCCCCACTGAAGAGCAATCAACAGGCAAATAATGGCCGCGACAAAGAGGATAGTTCCCGCCGGATCAAACTGGCCTAGTTGAAAAGCCCAATCTCCCCGCTTCAGCTGCTGTTCCCGGGGTGGCGATGACAGAAATAGGACGATGAAAGGGACGGCTATGGCGCCAATTGGCAGATTGACTAGGGTCAGGTAAGCTCAAACTGTCTAACATCTAAAGACCGGAGTTCTCATACTGTAGAAGCACCAGCGCCAAGACACATGACCTAGAGGATTAGCATCAACCTGGCCGTGAAGCAATCATGAGGGGTCGACGAGAACTGACTGGTGAAAACGCCCCCTACTAAAGGCCCCACCACACTGGCGATACCCCATATGGCGCCAATGATCCCTGTAAAAGCCGGCCTCTTCGCCAGGGGGACTGACTTGGCAATGATGATCAACGCGCCGGAGAAGATACCTGCGCCTCCAATTCCGGCAATCGCTCGTCCAACTATGAGAGCCAGGGAGCTGGGGCTCGCCCCGCAGATTGTAGAGCCAATTTCAAACACCACCAACGCACCGATAAAAGTCCACTTGATGGGCAGCAGGGCGTAGAGTTTGCCAAAGAAGAGTTGAAAGCTGCAGGTCGTGAGGAGAAATGCGCTGCCATACCATCCAATATCTTCAATGCTGTGGAATTCGGATGTGATGGTCGGGATAGCAGTAGCAATGATCGTTTGGTCCTATCCGTAAGATATTTTTAGCCAACTGGACTACCTTAATGGTCATTGCGGCTAAGGCAACCGTGTGGTCACAAACCAGAGCAACCAAGAATACAGTCAAGCAAAGAGCCACAAAGATCAAGGCCAGTTTGATGCCAGAGGGATAATTAGGATCACCTGAGTCTATTGACTCATTTAATTGATTAGTAGTATTGCGACCAGTAAATTGATAGCTGTTCTTGTGTGACTTTTCCAGAGATGATTCAAGTGCATCATGAAGTTGGCGTGCCATCTTGTAGAGCTAGGATGTAAGAAGCGTACGGAGGGGAAGCGAGGGTGGTGTCGGAGTAAGAACCAAGATGTTCAACGTGCATTTGGTTTATATCAAACAAGTCAGGTATTTATATCAACCTCTACGCAAGATCAGAGGGAGAAATATCCATAGACTTGCACTATGAAATTCATATGCTTCTCGTGAAAGTATAGACGTGGGTTCCTATTGGCTGACCAATTACCTATTACGGTATAGCGGTCGGAGGAGCGAAGGTTCCCATTGGATCAAGAATTGCCTGATATGGTATAGTACATAAAGCCAGTATATATGATCTCCGGCCAGCAGCCAATTTTTGTGATTATACAAACTTCCCTGAACCCTACCAATTTTCATCATCATCATAGTCATCGCCATGTTGATCCTCATAGCGGGAATTACAGGCAATCTTGGCCAGCATCTCGCTCGAGTCTCTCTGGAAAAGGGCCACCAGGTCCGAGGCTTGGGACGATCGCCAGACAAGCTCGATGCAAAAACGATGGGTCATCTCGAAAGCTTTGTTGTCTCTTCTGCCTACTACGACATCCCTGCCCTGGATCGTGCAATGACCGGCGTGGACGCCGTGATTTGTGCATACTCAGGTCGGCCGGAGCTGGTGCTCGACGGCAATCTTCTTCTCCTGCGTGCGGCTGAGCGTGCCGGTATCAAGGTAGGTCACTAGTTGACGTACCCGCTTGTAGTTGCTGATAGTCTTAGATATACCTAGCGTCTAGCTGGAATGTAGACTGGCGATACGTGAAATTTGGCGACCACGAGAGTTTCAACCCGTTTCATTCGTTCCGCCAACAGGTTGCTATCACGTCGACGATGAAGCCAATTTGGATCTTTACCGGGGTTCTCGCTGAGGTGTTTTTCTCGGTTCCCGGACATGGTGATCTCTCGCCCAAAAACCACGGCATTTGGGACCCGGTCGCGAAGTCCATGGATGTCTGGGGAACAGGCCGGGAGAAGTTTGATTGGACGACTGAAGCAGACGCAGCGAAGTTCAGTATTGCTATCATTGAGTCCCCGGAAGCACACCAGGGTGGGTTTTATTCGGTCCGGTCAGGCTGTCATAGCCTTCGCGAAATCAAGGCCACATATGAACGGGTCCGAGGATCGAGGGTCCAGGTGATCGAAAAAGGGTCTGTAGAGGAGCTTGAGAAGACTGCCTTGCAAGCCCGTCTTCGTGGCTCCCCTCTGACGTTCTGGGAGTATATCGGATATTTTTATCAGCTGGTTACCATCAACGGCTCAGCTGCTCTACGTAACTTGGACAATGACCGCTTTCACAATGTCGACACTACATGTCTGGAAGAATTTCTGCATCAAACACCTGAAATTTGACCCCTGAGGCTTTGAGGACGACATATTCTGAAAGAATGGTGGCTTCACAGAAGGATCTTTATGTTCTTATAGATAATATCCAATTTTGTGTTCAACTATCAAACTCTATCTTGTCATTGGCAGATTTACCATTTTGTTTTATTGGTTGAATTTTCCCCTAAGCTTAGGACTGGCACAATCGAGATGGCTTCATCCATCTAGGTTTTCACTTGTTGCTACTATGGAGGGGCGGACAATCTCGCCTAATAGACAGGTTCAAACATCACAAGACCACCACAACCAATGGCAAGACTGAAGTGGACCCGAAGAGTTGGCATTATTGTTACAAAGATGGTGACCTTTGACTATCAGTGACTCGGAAGGATCCCCGAAAGAGTGATATAATCAAGGTTAATGCAACTCTCTCTCTCTCTCTCTCTCTATCAGAAGCCAACGAATTTCGTTGTTCCCTGTCCAATTCCCGCCCAGTATCGAGGGCATCCTATGGAATATAGTCATTCGATTACGCTGGTTACAACAGTTAGGTCTCGTTCTGTCGACATGTCTTCTAGACCGATACAGCATATCGGGTGATCATGAAGACAGAGTCCCAGGGGTAGATAATAATGCAACATTCCCCATCTTACGTACCGCAGTCCTCAGAGTAGAGCATTATCCTTGCAACAATGTTGCATCGTAGCGGGCAGATGGGATTCCACGGTGTAACAGCCCAAGAAGCGTGTATGAAGGGAGCCTAATCCTGGAATGTCATGCTATGACTTTTCAAGTATGTCATGAAATTTCAACGCTGACTAGACTTGTTATCATAACAACTAGAGCGAAGATTATGCAAGAGGGATCATCTTCAGTAATGTATTTAGCCAGGTGAATCGAGCAAGTACGGATGTGCACCGTTACGTGGACGATTACGGATGTCACCAATGTTTTCAGCCGGGAATAAGTGGATTATATGGTCAAATGAGAGTCTGTAGTAAACATTGATCCAGCTATGCACTGCTCTAAGAGATGTGTCTAATGTTAGAGCCTGTGAGTTGAGCCATCAAACTATATATTCCATCTTATGCTTAGGGGTGGGATCTAGAGTACTTACAAGATCATATGGGACTATAAAATTAAAAAGCAGTGATATCCATGGAAGGCTATAACGACTACTCCGTACTTCTAGCAAATCATCCTCATAGGTCAGTCATGACCACGATGCTCTCTATTTCTGAGTTCTGAATACAAGATATTGTACTTTGAATTTCCCCAAACCACATCAAATTAAGCTCGTTCATGCAGTGCTACTTTTGCAACTAAGTTTAAGCATAAAAGACTGCACGTTGAATCACAGCAGTAGTTTTGTTTTGGAGCACCGCGCTAGACTGTTCTGGCAGGACGAAACAAAGAAACAAAGAACTTAGAAACTTTAATTCATCAGGCGATTCCTGGATAATTCTAGAAGCCTCTTTCTTTATGCCGTTATCGCGGTGTATTTATAGATATCGCTAACTAGATCAAGGTGATGGATTAGTCCAGGCTAAACATTGGAACTCATCATCCTATGTTACCCTGTCGAATATTGAATATGCTTTCTGGTCGTTATATCCACTCAAATCTGACTAACTACGGAGTACTATGTTCGTGGCTGGCGTTTTCCCTGGAAATATTCGACAATGTTTTTTGTCTAATTAACAAGATTATTTGAGACATAACCTATGAGCTATAATTATGAGGGAATATCACTATGAAGAGGAAGAAATTATTCCTATTCCTACTGCACATTCCTCAATCCAAGTAAAATTCAGGCACAAGTTATGAAAGAAACAATACACATCGCTTCTCCCCAGACCGACCCACTATCCATCACCCACATCAGATGATCCACCTCACATATAACATGTCCAATACTCCATATCCTCGCTGAAACACTCATTCCAAACACATCAATATAACCCCTACATAACTACCGATGAAACAATCTATATATATACCAAACATGCAAAGCCAGCCCAAGCCCCATTACAGGTCAGGCCAAGCTTTCCACCTCTGTACATATAACACTGAACCCAGCGCGAGGGTAACAATAATACCCCGGTGGAGCCTCCAGCTTAGGATCTGTCATATCGAATAATAGATCTTCGGTGGGCGCCTTCTGGAGGTTTCTAAATATGGTGATTTTTTATAAGTTAGAAAGGCGTTAGGGGGTCAATTCTAGGTGAGGCTTGTTGATGCTGTATGAACGAGCTGGAAGATGCATAATCAATTGGTGAAGTTTGCTACCTAGGGTACATAGCTAGAAAAGCATGTTTGTTTTTTTACGACCTACTTGATCTTCAAGAAGCTATGGGTTGAATATATTTTCAATATATAAAACGCAAGTACATTGATAGTACATGGAAAAATCAATCTGTACATTAATCCCAACACGAGGACGAACACCGGTAACCTATGTATAAAGGGTTGAACTCTCCGCACCACGACAAGAAAAGAAGGGTGGCGCGGAAAGGCAAAAGGAAAAAGGTAAAAAAAAGTGCGATCCGACCGTTCCGACGTACGGTACTGTACACACGATCGCCGGGGGAGTCCTCGTCCATGGAGGAGACGCCCCTCAAAGTGAAAGAAGAAAGAAAATAAATGCAGAGAGAAGTAAGGAAAATGCGGAAGCCCCGGATTCAAACAATATGTGCATTTTTAATTGCACCCGTGACATCATCCAAGCCAAAAAACGGATCATCTATGCGCCATGACAATTCAATTATATCCTGACCGGGCGGGAGCGGGGGAGAGGATTCCTTCGGGTCTATGTGGGTTCGTGTGGAGGAAGGAGAGGGGTTGTATGTATAGGGCGGGCGGGTGAAAGGGTCGGGGGTCGTTGCATGCGGCCGGCCAGGAGTTCGATATGTATAAAGGGCCGTATGGTGGGCCCATGGAAATCAAAAATATCCAGAATGAGAAGAGAAAAAAAAAACATGAGGAACGGAGACCGCGGGTTTACCCGGCACGCCAGGTCAACTCGAACACCTGGTCGCCGTTGGCCTCGTCGCGGTGGACGTACCACTGGCGCACCTGGTTGCCCTCCAAGACGGCATCTTCCAAGCGATAGCTGTATTTCTGCTCGTCCTTGGGACGCATCGGGCCAAACTCGTGCAGGTACGACTCGTACACCGCGCCGTTCTCGCCGTCCCAGGTCAATTCCATGGTCTTCTCGAACGGATCCACGGGCAGGCTGTACTTGATGATCGAATACCCGTTGGTCAGGATCCAGCCGTCCTCGAACTGCCACTGGCGCAGCAGGCAGGAGTCACCGCAGATGTCGCGCACCACGCTCAGCTTGCCCATGTCGGTGTGGAACCACGACTTCCAGTGGTGAACCGACAGCGGCGGCTGGCGACCCGACTCGAAGAAGCCGGACACGTCGCCGGTCACGTCGAGCTGGTGCAGGCCGTGGTTGATGGTCAAATGCGTCTCGGTGTTCTGGTAGACACAGATGGAGATGCGTCGATCGCCCGTGAAATCCATGTTTTGGCAGGCCTCGAAGACGTCGGGATCGCTAAGCTCCAGGAGCAGGGGCCGGGACAGGAAGACACCAGCGCCACCAAAGCCCATCAGGCCGAAAACGCCGATCTGCGGGATGCTCTCCGACAAGCCGCCGACGTAGTAATTCTTTGTGTCGTCGTACTCGGACAGGGACTTGACCAGGGTGGACATGGACATGAAGAAGGTATCGTCATCGATGATGCAGGACCAGCGGGTCTGCGACCGCACATTCTGAGCCAGGTGGGCGACCAGCGAGAAATAGCGGCGCTGGTACTCCTCGTCGGACTCGGTAATGTAGAGGTTGATACCCAGGAGGTCGGCCTTGGCCTGCACCTCCGCGGCGCGGTCGTCGGGTTCAATCAAGGCGAAGATGCGGGTGCGGGTGTAACCGGCCCAGTGGGCAAACTGCTCGACGGAATCGTTGAGACGTGAGAGGGTGGTGGCGACACCGAAGTCGATGTGAGATGCGTCGACGTTGCGAGGCGGACGGGGCACCTGGACGGTGATGGGGTTATCCATCTTACAGTCCTTCTGGGCGGGTTCTTCCAGCGGGTTGCCCTGGGCGTCGACCGACGGCAAGGAGGGTTCGAACAGAGGGTAGTTGAGGAGGTGCTTGATGGGCAAGGGATCATTGGCGGCGGACGGCACGGCGATCACATCGCGGCGCACGTACTGGCTCAGCTTGCGGATATTGAGGCGGTTGAGGACATCGGTATCGGGATCACACTGGACGTCGGACGTGACCGTCACGTTGCCAGAAATCGTCGTCGTCGTGACACTAGGTTGGTCGACATGCGGCCAAAGGACGAAGGAGAAGGCGCTGACCAGACAGATAGCGACCAGAAAGCGTAAAAGCCTTTTCCGCGCGACCATCGGGGGACCCATTGTAGTCCCAACTGGTTCCCGTTTGGACCACATCGAACAGCGGAGGAAGAAAGGAGGAGGGAGGCGGTGGGGAGCGAGGGGGAGGGGAGCGCTTTTGAATCGATCGCGATAGATAACGATACTGAGCCTGGAAGTCGTATGTCGTACTAAGGGAGCATAAGCATGTCGACTATCCAGGCACAGGAAGAGTCGAGGTGGCGGACGGCGTAAGGGAATAAGAAAGGTAAGACCCGCGAAAACGATACCCGGTATAAAAGCAAAGACAAGGGAGAAGAAAGAGAAACAAGATAATAGAGGGGAGAGGGAAAGAGATGGATGAGGATATGAAGGATAAAGGATGTCAGGAAGGAAAACCAAACTCCCACAAATTAAAAATCAAAATCCAAACTCAAAAAAAAAAAAAAAGAGAAGAGAAGAGGAGGAAGGAAGATCAATTAAGAATCGATCGAGATAAGAGGAAGAAAGAGGGAGAGGGAAAAGAACAGAGTAAGAGTAAGAGTAAGAGAGAGAGAAATCAGGATCAGGAGGAAGGAGTCCCGGAGGAGACAAGGTTAGCCGTAGTTGGTCCCAGTATGGATGAGGTACTCTGACCCGTATTATTTCGTACGGTTTGGTACCGGGTGTGGCCACCGCGGCAGCTATCCAATCAGATAGAGCGATAACAAACGAGTAGATTGCAGGGGTCAAGCCAGACCACTCCATCTGATTATTTGCTTTGTTTTATTACCGGTAAACACTCGGTATGATTACAGACCATATATACTCAGGTACTTCTTACTTACTACACCTACTACTTCGTACTCGAGAGGGAATTGCCAGAATCTGTCAACTTCATCAACCAGATAACCTACAGAGTTTGAAGCCACCACCCGACCATGCTCGAATTCTAATCAGACTTCCGGCAACCTTCTTTTGGGAACCCAAAAATTTCCATCAATTTTTCAGTCTCAGACGGCTCAACCCACGGTAAAGTCCTCTTTGGGGCGGCTACCATTGGAGATCCAATGTCCACTTTAACCAATGAGACCTCGATCCAGGGGCTGCAGATCGGCCTCTCGAGTGGGTCGTCTGCCAAATAGGAGTTTTTCCTCAACATATGCCACCGTGGTGGCCATTCCTGATTTTTACTTTTTGATGATTTTGGGAGGATGGAACGCGATGATCATCTGCAGCAATTCCAGTGTCACTGGGGCCCCGGTCGGGAATCAGGACGGCGTTGACCGTCAACCCTCAATTGCCAGTTGCTCGAGACATCCAGGAAACAAATCCAGCCAACGGGAATAGGGACCTCTGACTTGCTGAAGGGTCCCCGCCAAGCCGCACCATGACGCGCGGATATGGTATGCCCTGGCGCCGATCGCCAGTGAGCGGGGGCGACACGGGGGGATGATGACGACGGCCGCAGGTTTGACCTGGCACTGTCCAGTCCCGAGTCGGGTAAGTTCCCAGAGTCCAAAAAAGGTCCAAAAGTTGAGAAATCGAGAAGTCTACTCGTCAGGATGGAGTCGTCGGCAGTCTTCAGGCCTCACCCAGTGGTGGATGGGAATGGTTACATTGAGTCGTGAAATCATCTCCCATCTATCCCGGACTCGCCAGCGGAACAGAAGAGAGTCGGGTGTGGTGGCTCTGGAAGGCCGAAGTGGCGGATAAATTAATAAGGCGTGATGGTTTGACGCCTCTCATTTCGTACATGGCATGAAATTTGCTAAAATTATCTGGTTGATAAGGAGGATTAATTAATTATAGGATCCATTCCATTCCAACCCTCGTCACTTGTCACCGTGTGCCCGTCTTGGACCGCACGGCCCGAGCTTATGTCATCCGCCCTGGCTGATGTAATACTCTCTCTCTCTTCCTCTCTCTTCCTCTTTCTTGCAGATTATCCAGTTGATTGTATCTTTGTTGGAAAGGTATTCTGATGATACTTATGATGAACTGGTCAAATCTCTGTATAATACTATGAAAAAACCAGCCAGATGCATTATCTCACCTCACGCGACACCCCCTTCCCCTTAGCCCGGAGTCAGCTTCATTAACCCAAACTCCGACCGAGACAAACCAGGGCTAAAACTGTCAGACCGCGCGCCAAGCCCGCCCTGATTGCGAAATCGGTTCTCTCGCAGCCGTCCGTCCCGCTTGGTTTGCTTTCCCTGCTGAAGTCCAGGATATCTCGCTGTCCACGGCACAGCACGGAGTACAGAGTACATAAGTGGATCATGTGTTTTGACCTGTGGCTTTTGCCGGCACCGGTGGGGTGACAGTTGCAACGCAGCTCCTCTCTCTGGGGCCACCTACATCGTACATACTACATCGGACAGACACATGTAGTTAGCCCCACTTGTAGGGCAGGGCATTTCGAGGCTCAGACTCTGGGTCCCCCTGGACTGTCAGCGTCACTGACTATGACCTGAGAACTAGAGTCGCAAAGACAACCCACTATTGGGTAAGATGAGCTGTGCCTTGTTCGTGTCCGGATACCGAGTCAGATATCTCCCACTATTTCTAGCCCACCCCTCTTCACACGTAACATACATGCACAACAAAGTCAACATTCCCCCTTCCACTCTAAACAAAACAACATCTTTCTATTCTGACGAGATAGAGATCTCATGTTTAGCTTCTGTGAATTTTCAGAATCCCCGCCCCCTAATACAGCCCGTAAGATTACGCAGGCGCCCGAGCCGCCACGCCCAGCGCCATCAAAGCATACCCATACCCACCTACCAACCACCTCCCCCAACCACGCCATCCAAACCCCGCACCACGCACGCGCTCCCTTCGACCTGTCCTCATTGACACCACCCCAGGCCCACAGGTACGTGCGACAGACGTCACCAGACTCGTGATGAACAGTATCCATGCTAGATTAGCCTGCGGTAACACGGCAGGGCAGCCGTGTGGTCACGTGGTACCATCGATTCAAAATCACCTGCGTCATTGAGTGAGACATGCATGTCGGGATTGAGTCCCCCGCCATTCATTCCCTACCGCCCATATTTGTGTCTTGGGTATAGATGGGTAGATAGATACGTGTGATACTGGAAGGTGGGCGGGACGGATTGCCGCAATTAGGTTATTGGGTGTTTTCGCCAACGCAGACCGTCTCACCAGCATTACATACGGCGGTCCCACGATGGAGGTCATTCATAGTCTTGGTTTCCTTATGTGGTGTTACCGTGTGTGAAATGGTTTGACTTCAGGTCTGGCAAGTTTGGTGGGAACGGTTGGCGGTTGAATGGCTTATGCCGACTACGGTGGGTTTCGTGATAGGGCATGAGGAGCATTTAGTAGGTGATTACAGTCTTCTTTATATTGTATTCTTTACTGTGCTACCTATCCTACCTACTCTACGAGGTTGGATTCATTGAACTTGGCTTGCTATGGTCAAGTCTCGGGTTCTATTTGACATTAGAGATCCCAGCAAGATGCAGTGTTCTTGATGTCGACTGTACCTTGAGCTACACTACCATATCATGTATGGAACGAGCAACTTGTTCTAGTATTGAAACGAGAAATCCAACTTTACACACAGAGATGATATATCTATCCCGACAGTATCTCCGTCCCTCCTCTCTCCGACCCAATCGTAGAGAAACAGCTATCCCCCAAAACAACAGCTCCCCCAACTCCCCAATCAATGATAAGGGGGAAGACTCCAAACCGGCGGCTCCACACACTTATCAGGCCGGTCATTAGTGGCAGACGCAGCGCCCATAGCAGCCATGACATCCTCGGAGTTGCAGAACACGCTCGTGTAAAATGTCATCAGAGCCCCGTACACATTGTCATGCCCGTCGTGGCTGTCGACGTGGTTGCCGTCGCTGTCGAGGTGCTTGCACTTCCACGTCGTGATGATGCCGCAGCGGCCGCGCAGCTTCTTCAGATACTTTTTGCCGCATTGCTTGTTGAGATCGAGGGAGTCCTTGGGGGCCCAGACGACCCATTTGTTGGTTGCGGGGATCTCCTCGTAGCCGCAGACGGAGTTGGGGGGTGGTTTAACGTCGGCGCGGGTGGTGAGGTCTGCGTTTGAGGCGCGGATGAAGAGGTCTTTTTCGTCGTTTGCGTTGTCGTTGTTGATGGAGGGAATCGCGGTGGCTGTGGTGAGGCCGAGGAGGGTGATTGTTGTGAGAAGGGATTTGAGGAGCATTTTGAATAGATTTGTTTTTACTGGTCTGGGCGGGCTGGTCTGGGTTGGTCTCTTTGGAGTTGATTGATCTTTGATCTGCTTGGAGTTGGAATTGATGATGCTTTTCTCTGTTATTCTGGCGGGGAGAAGTACTGAGTATTTATACCCCTTGAATTGCTTCACTCCCATCTACCTCTTTCATCTTTGAAGGTATTCTCTTTAACACGCCTATAATTAGGCCTTGACCTCCATGCCACTATCCCCATACAGATAATACCCTACAGAGTCCCAATATGGTACTATGTGCCGCTGACACTGCCCTGTGTAGGGCCCCCCAGGAATGCTGATGCTCGTATTCATCCCACAATTTGACTGTTGAGCATACACCTGCATGCGCTTACCCTATAGGGTTATTTCCCAGCAGATAGAATCCCTATTCATTGCAGAGACAGGCACTGCCCCAGTCCACTGCAAGAGTAGGATTATGCATATCTGGATGATTGTTCAGCCGGAGATCTGTAGCGTCCAATACGATGGCTCAATGGGAGGGGCTTTTGGTTACCATGACTTCATTTGTAGAGTATTCACTTAGCTTCTTACCTATTTACCTACCTAACTTACACTGAATAGAAAGTAGCAAGTTAGTTGTGGTCCTACAACCTAGGATCTTGCCAAGGACGGGTTTAAAATAGCAACTTCGATATGGGGTCCAAATCTGAACGCTACTACTAGCCGGTCAATCTCTGCTTTGTTTGATAATTACCGCCCCCATCCTTTCATCCTTCTGACCCGCTTCTTCGTATGCAGGGGTGGAATACCCTTGCCCGATGGGGTGAAGAAGTAACATATTGCACTGAGCATCGAGCTACTTATAAACATCAGGTTACTTGCAACAGCCAAAAGTGTCATGCTATTCTTGTACCCGAGTGATGATTCTTTCTTGATTAGTTGAAATATAGTTGTTTGACAAACTATTACAGCCGGGAGCAAATGCTTCGAGTGTGCTATGCTAGAGGCTGAGTGGATTATTCTACTTCTCACTGTGTAAGCACTGTGGTGTGTGGGGTAGGCAGGACGGCGAACAGAGAGCATGGATTGCTTGAGCTATACCCCAGCTTTCTTAGCATTGGCTCATGCTCTGGTACTCCATGGTAATGAGGTAAGCGAGAGAGAGATTGAGTGAATAATGAATTAGAAGTATAGTGACAGATGTCAGTAGAGTGACAGTGACTGTATTATCTACAAATAACAGCTTGCTAACATCGTGTATAGATATTACTGGGCTCTTATTTGGTGGCTAGCTCATACCACCAATGTGTGCTACATTAACTCGGTGTCCCGACATCCTTGAACCCTTGATAGTGTGTTCTATCTCTTTCTTGAAGTGTTGGAGTGCTGATGACACGCTCAGCAGTTAGAGTTGCAAAAATGATTTTCTCATGGGTCTATTCCAATTGAGCACTTAGCAAGAATAAAGAGGTCGTATTTTTATGGCAAGGTTAGTAAACATGTTTGCGGTTACTTGCATGTTTTTGATAGTCCATTATATATATCCTGAAAAAGAGATGAATGTGATTGCTCTTTGATCAACCGACTTATACTCTGATATTGTTTTCCAAATCAAGATCCTGTACTCATACTACTGAACTAATTGAAAAGTGGAACAAAAGAAAAGGCCAGGATTCAGCTCTAGTCGAACAAATTCAGATTCAAGTCTATCAGGACAGACTCTTCCTCGGCATATGTAGTGCACAAGATGATGTAGCTGCAGACGTAACCGAGTGATTCGGCAACTCAGACACACCCGCTCTGGCTCGTGCCTGTTGGAGTTTAAGTAATCTTGGTGAGCTTGAGTAAATTGAAACACTCAGAGTTTGGTTCTCCCTGATACCCAGAGGCATACTAAGCAAGGCATTGGTGGCTCTGAAACTGATCATAGGTGTACATGACTTAACCTGAGGCCAGTAAATGGTTGACCGGGCTAGAATACTGGAATAACAAACCAATCGGCAAGATCAGTACTCTAACCTTGCCAAATTCCATTCTGGTCAAATTAAACAGTGATGATACTATGATTATATCCTTTTGGATTCTTGTTAGCCAATCGACGGCTAGATTCTGAATTATTGAGATAATTAACCAATGTTTCCGTCTAGCTATGGGTCATCAACTAAAAACTCTCCATTTAATTGATGTACAAAGTTAAGGCGTATGCACACAGCTTTATCTCAAGTATTCCGTCGATCGAGCTGTTGATATAGTTACCAGACCAAGCCATCTAGGGCTGGTGTTAGTCATTCATGACTAATATAGATACCTCAGGCCACCATAGCCATCCGGCCACACAGCAAGTCCTCTCCGCATCAACCAAAGATCGCTTTACCTCACCTCAATTACATGCAGCAACCATAACCTCCTAAATCCATATCGTGCCCCGGCACATCCCTCATCCATAATGACCAGTCAATCCCTTCCCGCTCTCCTCCAACAATCTTCTATCGACGACCACGACGAAGCCCTCCAGTCCGCCAACGCCGCCCTCTCCAAATCCAAATCCGACCTCCGCGCAACCCACGTCAAGGCGGTCGCCCTCCTCAAACTCGATCGCTACGATGACTGTCTGCGTGTGTTTGAAGAAGCGGGCGATGCGTTGAAAAAGCGCGCGGCGCTCGAGTACGCATATGCTCTTTACAAATGCGGGAAGCTGGAGGAGGCCACCGAGGTCGTTGCGCAGCTGAGCGGTAGTGGGCACAGAGGGGCACAGCACTTGGAGGCTCAGGCTGTATGTTTCTCACCTCATTTATTCACTTGACATCCTTTTCTATTTGCGTGACACCGCTTCGAGAGACGTATGCTAATCATAGCTGATAGACTTACCGGGCTGAAAACTTCCGCCGCACGGCCGAGCTATATGAGAGCCTGGCCAATGACGCATCCCTCGAAGCCAGCGATTTGAGGATCAATTCGTGGGCTGCTGATGCGCAGCTGCAGTGGCAGGGGTGGGCTAGCCAGGTGCGGCACAGCCGGCCGACGCGGGATGATCTCGAGGCGTTCGAGACTGTGTACAATGCGGCTTGTTTAGGGATCGCAAGGGGAGAATTTGGACAGGCAGAGGTGTTGCTGAAGCGCGCCAAGGGTTGGTTTTCTATCATGTTAACCCTGCGGGCTAGCTGAGCTAACGTTTGTAGAACTCTGTCGTACGTCCGAGGACTTGACGCCTGAGGATCGGGCCGCCGAGTTGCTCCCCATCGCTGTGCAGCAGCTGTATGTTCTCATTCAGCAGGGCAAGTCGCAGGAGGCAGAGGCTATCCTGGAAGAGATCTCCGTTGATAGGTGGGTAATCCCCTTCTCTCTCCACTGACCCGTACTAATTCAGTAGCATTTCGGAACTGTCAACAAAGAAAATCGCCCAGACAAACGTCACCCTCGTGCGCGATTCCGCTGCCAACCCCTTCCTCCTCTACAAAGGCCTTGATGCCGCCCCCGAGGCCCCCGAAAACGACCGTCTCTTCTCCTTCCAAGATACCATCTCGACAGAGAACGCCCACGCCGCCGACCTTCTCGTCCAGAAATACGACGGCATCATCCGCTCTACGGCCAAGGCCCTGTCGCAGGCCCCGTGGCCGTCCGCCGACGCGCGCACCAACCTGCTCTCGGTCTACAACGCAGCCGCCCACGCCCGCGGCGAGCCCAGCCCCAAAGCCCTCAAAGCGATTCTCCCCGCGCTGGACAACCGCCCCAAGGACCTGGGTCTGGCCCTGACAGCCGTGCAGCTCTTCGTCCGCGCCGGCAACACCACCTCAGCCATCACCACGCTCGAGCGCACCCTCCAGCATCTCGAAGCCGCAGACGACAAGTCCGTCCGCTTCAACCCCGGCCTCCTCGGCATCCTCGTCTCCCTGTACAAGCTCGAAGGCCGCAAGACGCAAATCCGCGCCGAGCTCGCCAAAGCCGCAACCTACTGGCGCTCCACCCCCTCCAACAACCAGGCTCCCCCCACCTCCCTCCTCCGCGCCGCAGCCACCTCCCTCCTCCACTCCACAGACTCCACAGACCTCACCACCGCCCGCGACATCTTCCAAACCCTGCACCAGCAAAACCCGCACGACCCCGCCGCCCTAGCAGGATTCATCGCCGCGCAAGCCCCCCTAGACTACACCCAGGTCCCCACCGCCAAGGTCGACTCCCTCCCAGAAGTGTCCACCCTCATCGCAGACGTCGACCTCGCCACCCTCGAATCAGCCGGCATCGCGCCCCCAGCATCCGCCTCCGCCGCCGCAGCCGCAGCCCTCGCCGGCGCCCGCAAGCGCCAGGCATCAGCAGCAGCGTCCGCTCCGAAGCGCGTGCGCAAGGACCGCCTCCCCAAGGACTACGACCCGGCCAAGACCGCTGACCCCGAACGCTGGCTGCCCCTGCGCGAGAGGTCCTCGTATCGTCCCAAGGGCCGCAAGGGCAAGCAGCGCGCTGCGGAACGCACTCAGGGCGGCGTCGTCTCGGATGATAAGCCTGCTGCTTCTAACAGTGGCGGTGGTGTCGTCAATGCCCCCAGTGGGGGCGGCTCGAAGAAGAAGGGTGGGAAGAAGGGGAAGCGGTAATGGGTCGATTGATTGATTGATAGATGGGTTTGATGTTCCTAGATTATTCATCTATTGATCTATCTATCTATCGCTTTATCCAGTTATTTATATATCGATATGGCCATTTTTTTTTACTTTATCTGTCTATATAATTTAGATGATTCGTTGGACGAATGTTTTATTTTCTCTTTTTTGTTCACTTCATTAGTAGGGTTTTGGTTGGGTATTATTTATTTTGCTTCATAGTGGTTGTTGTTGGTGGGGGACTGTATGGGTATAGATATACGGGTGCATGCCATCCAGCGTGCACCCTTTAGAAAACCATCTACGTATACTTCATGCACGCATCAGACTTGAAGCGCACACCAATGGAAATTGTTATGATTGCTTCATTTACTCGATGAGTACGAAGATTTTGAATTGGAAAAGACACAATTTTGATAGCTGCGCTACATAACAATCATAAACGATTACTGGATAAAAAAGGCGTCCAATCTAGCCCAGTTGTGCGTGCCAAATATGCAAGTAGATAAAAACAAAGGATTAAGTGGGGAAAGAAACGAAAGAAGAAAAGAAAGAAGAAAAGAAAGAAGAAAAGAAAGAAGAAAAGAAAGAAAAAAGAAGAGAGAGGGATTAGCCCAGCGGAGTTCGCACCGTACCACACTGTCGATCGTACTGGTCGAAGATGGTTTGGAACAGTCTCAGGTCCTGGATGGCGTCGGCCGTGGTGGTGCGTGGCTTGGTGCCGGCGACGAGGTAGGCGTGCAGGGCCTCCAGCTCGGCTCGGTAGGCGTCTTCCCAGCGGGAGACAGTCTCCTGGGTGTGGAGGGTGCCCTGGGCGTCGGCCGTTTCGACAACGACGCGGACGGGCTGGCCCGGCACGTAGGGCAGGTCGTAGTGGATGGTGACGGTCTTGGAGCGGCCGTAGACGGCGAGGTGCGCGTCGCGGCGCGGGACGGAGTCCGTGCCGGTCTCGTACAGGAGGGTGTAGGGGTGGGCGTCGAGGGTGTCGTCGCCGTAGTGGAAGACGGCGGAGTAGAAGGGCGCGTTGACGGAGATGCTGGAGACCGCGTCGGGGTAGCCCAGCGCGTCACGCATGAGGCCCAGATCGTAGCAGCCGAGGGACGCGAGGAACTGGCAGAGGGAGATGCGTGCCGGGCTGAGGTCCTGCCCCGCGAAGGTCTCCTGCAACAGGTTGTTGAGGAGCTGCTGGCCCTGGGGTTGCTCGCGGTCTGCTCCCGTGACCGGTAGCGAGGGCCGCGTGGGGATGATCGTCGGCCACTGCTCCTGTGGAGCGGTGACGCTGTGCGCTGCGTGCGGACCGGCGATGTTGCGGCAGCGCGCATAGTAGATGCGGTCTATGCTGGCGACTTCCTGACGGAAGACGTCGACGCACGGCGCGTAGCGACGCACCGAGGCGACAAAGACCTTGGCGCCGTTGGGCGCCTGCCGCTCGGCGAGAATGATGCGTTTCGCGCTCATGAGGCCCAGGCTGATCGGAGCTTCCAGCATGACATGCTTTCCCGCCGCCAGGGCGGCCACAGTGTAGAACTCGTGGAACTCGGTAGGCATGAAGTTGAAGACTAGGTCGACGTCGCTGGACCGGACGACTTCGTCGGGCGTCCGGGCGATCCGCAGGGTCTCATCATGGCCGTTGGACGTGCCGTTCTTAGGCGGTGCGGGGGGGTCAGAGTAGATCACAGTGGCCTGGAAGGAGTTCTTCAGGTCGCGCAATACGGGGAGGTAGATTGTCTGGATTACTTGGGCTCCAGGGCCCGCGGTGAGGATACCGACACGGAGGATCTTCTGGGTCATTTTTCCTCTTCCTGCCGTTACTATAGGGCCCGTATGTCTGGGGTAGATCAGCTCGGGACTCACTGTTGATCGTGTTGATCGTGTTCGGACATGGATCTGCTATTGTACGGTTTGTTAAGCCCGTACCGTGGGATGGAGAGAGTCGCTTCGACAATCAATGGACGGGAAGAACGTCAAGGAGGCCGAGTCCCTCTCAACCAAGGGGTAAGTGTGGTTGGAAGGCGCAAGGGATCAAACTAATGAGAGGTTCGGGCCAATATGAAAGGGGAATCCGAGTGCTAGAATCCACAGGCGCCTTTTGGAACACCGTGGAGCAAGGCTGATCGGGTGGGGAAGGAGTGACTGAACGGGAAGGGGTAGAGTTGGCCATGTTCCTGCCCACCCAGACGAAGAGTTTTAGGCTCCGAAGCCGTGGTGCCCATATTGGCATGATGATGTCTGTTTAGGTAGGGGCGTGATGTCAGTGGCCACCGGCGATCCGGTCTTGTGGGTGGGATGGAATGCCCGACATGGCGGAACTGAAGCCCTGATGACTGATTTCCACCATCAAGAGCTTAACAATAACCGTGTAAATTCTTTCTGACCCTCAGGATCATAGTCATTTGGCTTCCGAGTTTTCTATGTCATACGTGGTCTCTATCATGACGTTGGGATCGTCGCCCTCCATGAGACGTCTGTCGTCACACCAAAAACGGTAATTCCGTTCCACGAGGCGAGAGCAGCAGGCCCATTCCAACCAGTGGCTGTTCAACCCAGAGGAGCCAAAGTACGCGTTAGAAGGATCCGACAGATGGGCGGTTAGCCAGGAAGGAAGGAGAGAGATATCGAAGCATCCGGAGTAGAGAGAAAGATCGATCGATCAGGCCGATCGGCTTAGCCCAATCGGGTAATGGCGGATCAGGTGGGGAGGATGACTCAGCTGCTCATCGGATCTCTGATGCCTGAGGAAGCCATCTCTGGATCTGATATTGGAAGCCGAATCCGAGTTCATTGAGTACGCTGGTATAGTTCATCAGAATGACCCGGTAAGTCTATTAAAATATTCCCACTAGAACCACGGATCAACAAGGACACGTCCAGCCTTGCACATTCATACTCTGTGTGATATCCTGGTTGGTGCCTGGTGGATCAGGCGGAACTGCGCCACTCACTGACGGAGTCCCTCGTAAGTATCTGTACGTATTATTTCCTAAAAAGTAAATAAGAAGTTGTAGAAAGACAGGTACTGGTCAAGAAGTGGAGAAGCATGGTTATTTATAAACAGCAGGACCATTCGTTGGCCCATATCCAACTGCTGATCCACCAGAGTCAACCCGATGACGCATGAGGCCTATCGAGCCCGAGGCTTCCCAAGGCTGGATGTTTGTTGACGATGATAAGTACCTCAGGCAGTCATCAGATCGGTCGCCTCTTCCTCTTCCTCTCTTCCTTCTGATCAGCATCTCATCTTTCTCTTTCCTCCATCTCCCTTACGTTCCTCCGCTCAAGTTACTTTAGGCAACCTCGTTCCACTCAACCCACCTGCCAACCATGGGAGTAAGTCTTGTTCTTTTCCCTCCTTTTATTGCCCCGCGCTTGCCCCTCCTCCCAAGCTGAATGTGGCATCATCGTCATCATCATCATCCCGGCCTGCATACTATCTGCAACCTGCAACCTGCATACTCATCATCATTCCTGGTCTACAGTTTGCCTCCAAGATCGCCAGTAGTCAACCTCCCACAATGAGTGCCAATCCATCCGGTTACAGCGGAGCTCCTCCAACCGGATACACGGGCGGACCTCCAGCATCATTGCAGCCTGGTGGCTCCGGTGGATACAACAGCCCTGTAAGTGTCGGGATCCCCGAATCATCGTCTCTCGTTTTTTTTTTCCTTTCTTGTTTTCCTTTTTCCATCTTCCGTTCCTTTCTTTTTCTTTCTTCTTGGCCTTTTCTCTTTCCGGATTTTGACTCACGCCGTCTGGCAAAAGCAACCGCAGTATCAGGCTTATCCAGGTTCCCCCGCTCCTCCTGGCTCGGTAAGCTGACCATCTCTTTTGGGTTTCCTTTTTTCATCCCTCTTTGTTGTTTCTTCATCACTCTTCCGCCCGGTCATTTTGTGGTTGTTCTTCCCCTTGGAATTTCCTCTTGGTCCATCACCCTCCGTGGAAAGACCCAAGGCCCCCCGCGACCCTGGGACCTGCCCCTCTTGCCGCCCGAGACCCAACAAACTCTCCCACCGAGCACGGCTTTGGACAACTCGACCCTATCCATCATCCATCCCGCCATGTCGAGGCCTTATTATACCCGACCGGAATATCCGTCACCGTTGCAGCCGGGGCGCCCGGGATCGGCACAATCGCCCTATCCCTCCTCCCCGACCCCGCAGCAGTACCAGGCCTATCCCCCTCCCTCTGTGCCTCCTAATAAGCCCACCTCCGCGTCGCCCTATCCTTCGCCGTATGGAGGCACGCCCCAGCCTCCGCCGCCGTCCACCAGCCCATACCCTCCATCACCCTATGGACCGGCAACTCTCCCGGCTGGACCTCCCGCTCCGTACGGCGCAACGCCGTACGGTCAAGCCCCGCAGGGCTACGGGCGCCCACCTCCCCCGCCTTCCCCTCACTCCCCCTACGGAGGGCCAGGACCGCAATATCCACCCCAGTCGTCACATGTACAAGGCTTCCCTCATGTTCCTCGATCTTGTCTTTGATTTCTTCTTCACTTCTTTTCTACGCCTTATTGCCCATCGTTCTCTCCCTTGGCACGCATTTGAAGGGGCAAGCAACTGACAAAAATCATCTCCCTCAGGCACCTTCTTACCCCCCGCAGAACTCCCCGTATCCCAGTGGTGCCGTTCGTCCTCCGCAGCCGGGAACCCCGGGACCGCAGGGAGCGCCCTATGGACCTCCCGGCGGGATGCCCCCGGCACCGCGCGCGACAGAGCAGCAACTCGGCGCCTACCGACAGCTCTTGCTGGCAACAATCCAGGAGAACAACCTGCAACCCTTCTACCCCCCGGCCCGTCTAGATCAACTCGTCCAGGGGTTGGCCACCGAGGCCCCCGCCAAGATCAGCCGTCTGGTGCACGAGTGGCGTGTGCCCACCGAGGTGGCCACTGATATTATCAAGCTCTCCCTCTACGACGTCATCCTGTACGTGGATGACAGTGGATCCATCGAGTTCGAAGAGAATGGCGTGCGGAAGGAGCAGCTGAAGCAGATCATCGGCATCATCGCCACGGCGGCCGCCACGTTCGACGACGACGGCATCTCCGTGCGGTTCATGAACTCCATGGAGCTCGGGGATGGCATCCGCAACGTCGACGACGTCCACCGTCTGGTTGGCCGCGTTCGCTTCTCCGGCTTGACGCCCTTGGGCACCGGCCTGAAGCAGAAGGTCCTCGACCCGATGGTCGTGGGGCCGGCGCGCGCGGGTCGTCTGCAGAAACCCGTCCTGGTCATCACCATCACCGACGGTCAGCCAGCGGGTGAGCCCCTCGACTCGGTGGCCAATTCCATCCGCTCCGCAACAGACGAGGTGGCCCGCACGCCCCTGGGACGCGGCACGGTCGCCTTCCAGTTCTCCCAGGTCGGCAACGATGCCAAGGCCCGTGACTTCCTGGGAAGCCTGGACGAAGACCCGAAGATTGGCGGACTGATCGACTGCACTTCAAGTAATCACCCCCTCCCCCTCCTCTTCTTTCTTCGTCTTCCTCTCCTCCCCGCAGGTCCCTTGGAAGGCCGAGGCTAACAGTTGCAGACTTTGAGGTGGAGCAGGATGAAATGTCGCGCGCCAACCCCCCAGTGTATCTGACCCGTGAGCTATGGGTGCGTCTCCTTTTGAATTCCCCTTCCCCACCGTGGACGGTAGTCTGAGAATCCGTGACTAACCGTTGCAGTGTGCTAAATTGATGCTTGGGGCCATCGACACCTCATATGACACAAAGGACGAAAAGGCGAGCGGTCGTGCCGGGGGTGCCGGGGGTGCAGTGGGTGCCCCGCCTGGCCCTCCTCCCGGCCAGTATGGCGGCTACAGCCAAGCGCCTCCTGCCGCCCCTGCCTACAGCCAACCGGGATATCCTAGCCCGTCCCCCAACCCGAGCTACGGCGCCCCCGGTCCCTACAGCCCCGGGCCCGGCTATGGCCAGCCCCCTGCCCAGTACGGTCAGTCCTACGGCGGCTACGGGGCACCCCCGCCGCAGCCCAGCCCGTCGGGATACGGACCGCCGGCGGGGGCCCCCCGCGGTTACCCGCCGCCGGGAGCGTATGGACAGGCACCCCCGCCGCCCCCGCGGTACTAGAGGGTCTGCCGGATGAAATGGGAGGGGATCAGGTGCGGTGAAGAAGAATGATATCGGACTGTACCCATTATGATTTTTATTTTTAGTCTTATTATTCTTTTCCTTTTCTGTCTCTCTCATCTTTTTCCTTTCCTTCACATATCTTTTCCTCTACGCGTTGACGGTCGTTTGATTCTTGTTCCTAATTCCGGGCGCAGTCCTGGCCGATGAGATGGGCGTGTACCCATAGAAAATGAATATTGTTAATGATTATTAGTATGATGGCTATTCTAGTATATCCATTTCTCCCGAACCATGGCACGCGATCTGACGTACCGCGGGGGACAGGTACGTGAACAGGTCGTCACCTGGACCCAGCCATCCGGTGCGCCACGTTCCTAGGCGAGTCCACGGTTTGTCTTGGGTGATACACGGGATTAATTGGACATGATACTGTTAATAGCGTAGTATGTATAGAGAATACAGCATGAGTATATGATACGAAATGTATATGCTGTGGTGTATAATATGGGGTATATGCGTTGATTGAGTATAAGAATGAGTATAGAGGAAGAAGTATGATCTGGTAGGCGTGGAGGGTAGGTAGACATGAAGTGGAGGCGAAATTATAATTTGATTTATTTTATTTTTATTTTTTATTTTTTTACTTTTTTATTTTTTACCTTATTTTGTGTACCTTATTTTATCTTATTTGCGAACCGTTCCAGACAACCCTCCCTCGGTCTCGACATGGCAGCGAGTGGAACCGACAGGGGAACGACCAACAAAAAGGAAACGAGGTGGGTCTGGTGGGAAAAATGGGGACTTGGCCAGGTTAATTACCTTGTTTTGCGCGGTCGGCCTGATTACTTGGTACTTGGTGCTTACTTACTTGGTACTTACGAGGGGGTAGACTTGGTAATTGTTTCATTGTTGGGTTGCTTGGAATTCTACTCCAAAGTTTATTATCGAAGCATTTTATCGATATGCTGTTATGCTGCTGTTGCTGCTGCCTCAGGTATGGGTCTAGGAGTGGAAGTCCACATGGCGACCGACCCATTGGATCCAGGGGCGAGTATGTGGGGTTTATATCTGTCAGTTCTACTTCTCACGCCTTGTCTAGATAGGTCTTCTTAGACGTATATACTGTTATACATACATCTATATAGTTAGACGAATATTGACCATCAGTCTAGAAGATAATGTAATATACATCCAGTCGACTATCCTCCATACTAATGTGTCGAAGTAGAGCTGCCTGAGGTCCTCAGGCAATAACGTCCCGGAAGCGGCCCACAGCCAGCCCCGTGATTGGCGGGGTATGGCCGCCTGCGGAAATAGTGCGAAATCAGGCAAAAATGACCAGTTTTCGTCTCTTTTCACATATTATCTCTGTTTCACACTCTTACTTCTGTCTCTCTCTCTCTCTCTCTTACTCTCCTCTTCTCCTCTTCCTCTCTTCCCTCCTCCCTCCTCACCTCTCTACCTGGGGTTATATCCTGTCTATCGTTAATCCCATCCCCCCTCATATCCCTCCCCCTCCCCCCAATAATACATCCCTGGACGATCCTTCCCCTTTCCCTCTCCCCCCCACGGTCGTTTCACCTAGCCTCGCCAATTCTGTCGCTTCCCTTCTGACCTCGAGGCTGCATCTCTGTGCGACACCCCGCCGAGGCTTTGAACGTCCCGCGCCCCGCCTGTCTATGTCGACATCCCTGTGAATCGTCTACCTCCCGCCCGATTAGCCGTCGCCGATAGACGCGGAAGGATGCGTCTGGCCCCGTGATACCTTTGTACCGAGGCACCGTTTATTTTTTTGGAGGAAGGACGATTGGAATAGGGACAACATACCAGAGGAGGAGCGCAGAGGAGAGAGTCCACCCTCAGGCTTCCCCGTCTCGCCATGTCCAGAAATGATGAGACCACCGACAATGACGACTATCCGGTAGCCACACCGGCAGGGGATGATTCCCCCCGTCCCAGCGAGGACGCCTCCATCGACTCTCGCCCCGCCTCATTGCCCCGGAGTCACTCCCTACAAGGTGTGCCCCCGCGCAGCAGTCTGTCTCAGGCCCGTCCGTCGCTCTCCCCGTCGCGAACTCTCTCCGATTCGGGCCGCCGCGCCTCCCAACAACATGTGCGCTTTTCCACCGACCTTGAACGCCCCGTCGCGGACGACTCGCGCCGATCCTCCGTCGGTCTCCGACGCCCCGGCTCCAGGGGCCTCACCGTTGATACCCACCTCTCCGTGAGCCGCGCCCACTCGCCGGGCAGGTCCCCCGAGCGAGCCACTTCCCCCCTCTCCCCCACCCACCTTGGGGAGCCCCCCTCGCCCCAGAGCCAGAGTCCCGACGCCAGCGGCCGCTCGCGGTCGCGCAACCGTGGCTACTCCCTGCGGCGTACCATCTTTGCCAAGAACATCGAACAGCAGCCTGACACGACCACCCCGTCCGCCGACGTCGCCGAGGCAGAGGAACCACCGTCCCCACCCCCGCCGGCCAGCCCGCTGTCACCGCCGGACATCGCGGTCCAGCCCCCGCTCCTCGCCCCGTCGTCGGCCCCTCAGGAGAAGTCCGAGGTCGTCGTGGCCCAGCGGTCATCGATCTCCGACTCGACCCCCAAGGACGATGGCTCGACCACCTGCTACTCCGAGCCCAAGGAGGGCCGCCACCTCTCCATGACCTTCTCGTATGACCGGTTGCGGAAGCGCACGGCCGCGATCGAGACGTTCAAGCTCCGGGTCCACGAGATGCTGGAGACCGCGCGCAAGACCATCCTCCGCATCCAGGAGATCCCCCCGAGCGTCGACGGCCGCCACATCGACCTCGAGCCCATGCGCTCCGAAGACCGATTGGACGAGCGCACCGGGAAGCCCTACATCGGGAACGCCATCCGCTCCAGCCGCTACAGCTTGTGGAGCTTCTTCCCCCGCCAGCTGTTCGCCCAGTTTACCAAGCTGGCCAACTTCTACTTCCTCGTCGTCGCCATCCTGCAGATGATCCCGGGCCTGAGTACCACGGGCACCTTCACCACCCTCGTCCCGTTGCTGATCTTCGTCGGCATTTCCATGGGGAAGGAAGGGTTCGATGACTGGCGCCGGTACCGCCTCGACCGTGAGGAGAACAACCGGATCGCCTGGGTCCTGCGGCCGGGCGCCGGGTCGACAGTGCCACCGCAATCGGCGACGGCGTCGGCCCGCGACAGCGTCTCCGTCGCCAGCGATGCCCAGGACTGGACGCCCGTCAAGTGGAAGGACATCAAGGTCGGCGACGTCGTCAAGCTCATGCGGGACCAGCCGGTGCCCGCCGATCTGGTCCTGCTCCACGCCGAGGAGGCCAACGGCATCGCCTTCATCGAGACCATGGCCCTAGATGGCGAGACCAACCTCAAGAACAAGCAGCCGTGCCAGGTGGTCGCCAAGGCCTGCGACTCGGTCGAGGGCATCTGCGGTAACGCCGTCCACTTCGCCGTCGAGGACCCCAACCTCGACCTCTACAAGTTCGACGGCAACGCCGTCGTCGCCGCCGGGGAGAAGGCGCCGCTGACCAACAACGAGATCCTCTACCGCGGCAGTATCCTGCGCAATACCGTCGAGGCCACCGGCATGGTCATCTACACCGGCGAGGAGTGCAAGATCCGCATGAACGCCAACAAGAACCCGCGCATCAAGTCCCCTGCGCTCCAGGCCCAGGTCAATCGCGTCGTCGTGCTGATTGTCTTTATGGTGCTGGCGCTGGCCGCCGCCTGCACCATCGCCTACCGCTACTGGTCGCACGACGTCGAGTCGCGGGCGTGGTATCTGGCCGACTCGACCGTGTCGTACGGCCCCATCTTCACCTCCTTCCTCATCATGTTCAACACGATGATCCCCATCTCCCTCTACGTGAGCATGGAAATCGTCAAGGTGGCCCAGATGCTCATGCTGAACGCCGACATCGATATGTACGACCCCGAGACCGACACCCCCATCGAGGCCCGCACCTCGACCATCAACGAGGAGCTCGGCCAGGTCAGCTACATCTTCTCCGACAAGACCGGCACCCTGACCAACAACTCCATGCGCTTCCGCAAGATGAGCGTCGCCGGCACCGCCTGGCTCCACGACGCCGACCTCCAAGAGGAGGCTGCCCGGTCCGACGACCGCGAGCGGCTGGTCCACAAGAAACGCGGCGCCAAGGTCCGTCAGTCCATGGCCCGCCAGTCCAACGTGTCCGAGGCCATGCGGCCGAGCTTCGCCCGTGCCGGCTCTGTGTCGCGGCCCTCCGCGGCGGCTGCCGCCATCACCGCTGGACCGCGCCCCGATCCGGGCGCGACGAACCGCACCGCCGACATGCTCGCCTACATTCAGCGCAAGCCCTACACCGTCTTCGCCCGCAAGGCCCGCATGTTTCTGCTCGCCGTCGCCCTGTGCCACACGTGCATCCCCGAGGCGGACGAGTCCGGCGCCATCAACTTCCAGGCGGCATCGCCCGACGAGCTGGCGCTGGTCCTGGCCGCGCAGGAGCTCGGGTACTTGGTCTGCGATCGGCAGGCCAACACCGTCACCCTGCGGACGTACCCCGACGGCGCAGCGGGGTCGGCCCCAGCCCGCGAGGAGGTGTACGAGATCCTGGACGTGATCGAGTTCTCCAGCGCCCGGAAGCGCATGTCTGTGGTGGTGCGCATGCCGGACCAGCGCATCTGCCTGTTCTGCAAGGGCGCCGACAGTCTGCTGATGCAGCGTCTCAAGCGCGCGGCCCTGGCGCAGGAGAAGGCGACCGAGATCGAGCGGCGCGCGAGCAAGCGCAAAGCGGTCGAAGCCAACCACGTCATGCGACGCAACAGCGAGTATCAGAGCCAGCGCCAGAGCGGCGTGCGGAACAGCTACAGCCGGCCAAGCATGACGCAGCGCCGATCGAGCGTCTCGGGCCAGCGCGTGTCGGCCCTCCGGGACAGCATCGACGTCTGGCTGCGGGACCGGGAAACCGAGGGCGGCCTCACGACGAAGGGGCGGGACCCCGCCTACTACAGTCCGCGGCCGTCGGCCCAGCTGGGCCGGCAGTCGACGGCGCTGTCCGACGCGGGCAGCTGCGTGGTCGAGGAGGAAGACGAGGAGCTGGTGGAGGAGGCGCTGGTCGTCGACGAGTCGGCCGTCTTCGAGCGGTGCTTCCAGCATCTCAACGACTTTGCCACCGAGGGCCTCCGCACGCTCCTGTACGGCCACCGGTTCCTGGATGAGACTACCTACAGCAGCTGGAAGGCCGCCTACCGGGAAGCCTGCACCAGCCTGGTCGACCGCCAGGACAAGATCGAGCAGGTCGGCGACGAGCTGGAGCAGCAGCTCGAGCTGACCGGCGCGACGGCGATCGAGGACAAGCTGCAGAAGGGCGTACCCGAGGCGATCGACAAGCTGCGGCGCGCCAACATCAAGCTGTGGATGCTGACGGGCGACAAGCGCGAGACGGCCATCAACGTGGGCCACTCGTGCCGCCTGGTCAAGGAGTACTCGACGCTGGTTGTGCTTGATGAGCTGGCGGGCGAGGTCGAGGCGTCGATCATGCGGCTGACGGCCGAGATCCGGCGCGGTGGCGTGGCGCACTCGGTGGTGGTGGTTGACGGGCAGACGCTGTCGACCATCGACGCGGACGAGACGCTGCGGGAGCAGTTCTTCCAGCTGGCCATCCTGGTCGACTCGGTCATCTGCTGCCGTGCCAGCCCCAAGCAGAAGGCGTCGCTCGTGCAGTCGATCCGGCTGCAAGTCAAGGACTCGATCACGCTGGCGATCGGCGACGGCGCTAACGACATCGCCATGATCCAGGAAGCGCACGTGGGCATCGGCATCGCGGGCAAGGAGGGCTTGCAAGCCTCCCGGATCTCAGACTACTCGATCGGGCAGTTCCGGTTCCTGCTCAAGCTGCTGCTAGTGCACGGTCGGTGGAACTACATGCGCGCATGCAAGTACACGCTGGGCACGTTTTGGAAGGAGATGCTGTTCTACCTGACGCAGGCGCTGTACCAGCGCTGGAATGGGTACACGGGGACGAGTCTGTACGAGAACTGGAGTCTGAGCATGTTCAACACGCTCTTCACGTCGCTGGCGGTCATTTTTCTGGGTATCTTCACCAAGGATTTGGCGGCGTCTACGCTCCTCGCGGTGCCAGAGCTGTACACCAAGGGCCAGCAGCACGGCGGGTTCAACATCCGGCTGTACCTCGGCTGGACATTCATGGCAACCTGCGAAGCAATGATCATCTTCTTCACCATGTTCGGGCTCTTCGAAAACGTGCTCGCAACCTACACAGGCAGCGACATCTTCGCCGCCGGCCTCCTAACCTACACCGCATGCGTGATCGTCATCAACACGAAGCTCCAAGTCCTCGAAGTGCACAACAAGACCTGGCTCTCTGTCGCGGTCTTCATCATCTCCGTCGGCGGCTGGTTCGTCTGGGACATGATCCTCGCCCGCCAATACGACATCAAGACCGGCGACGGCATCTACCGCGTCCCAGGCCACTTCCTCTTCATCGTCGGCCTCGACCTCGCCTTTTGGACGGTGCTTCTACTAGCAGTAACAGCCGTCCTCCTCTTCGAGATTACCGTCAGCGCCATCCGCGCTAATCTCTTCCCCACCGACGTCGACGTCTTCCAGGAGTACGAGCAGGACCTGGCCATCCGCCGCCGCTTCGAGGAAGCCGCTGCCCTGGAACTCCAGCAGGGCTGGGACCACGGCTCTAAAAAGGCGAGCTTCGAACTCGACCGGGAGGAAGAGATGATCGCGCGCGAGAAGCAGGTTCAGGAGCTATTGGCGCGCCCGCGCGTCATGGAGAAGGCGGACGGCACCACTACGGCCACTGCCACTGCCACTGCTGTCGGGCCAGATGCCCAGGGGGGCGCGGGCAGGATGTCTGTCGACAGGGCGAGCATGAGACGCCGGTCGGTGGATGTTCACGAGTTGTTTAGTAAGGGGTATGGGGCGATTCGAAAGTGATACCCTCCTCTTTCTATTGGCATTCCTTTCTTTTAATATCATTCATTCCCTTCTTTGTACTTTCTTTCTGTCCCGTGTGTATATGGGGGGGATTGATTGCATGTGTGTAGCGAGATGGCGTTTGCTTTCTTTCTTTGTTTTTTTCTTTCTTGTGCATTCTTGTGCATTTTTATTTTCATTTTTGAGTGTCATGGTTATTATACCCCTGGGTTGGGGAGTCATTCCTTGTGTGTATATATACTTGTACGTATACTTATCGTTATCTATTTTTTTCATCTCATCTAGTATACCTGATTCGTTCATCCGATCTAGCGTAACTACCTCGTTCTCAGTCGTCTTGTTCATCTTGATCATTGTATGTGGTTCCATGGCTTTACTACTATTTCTACCACCCCATCTAGCGATAGAGATATTCACATATCTACCAGGTAAACCCAATACCCATAGAAAGAGAAAATCAACAATTAGATTGTATCTACACAGTTATATAGTACATAGATAGCCACCTAGCGCAATGATCAACGAAGCAGACAGATATACAGTAGAAGGATGCACCAGGCCCGTATCCGTAGGTAGGTAGAGTTAATCTATCTGATATCATACTAGTCTCCGTATCTGGAGTGGGATAGTGTTGTTAATCTCGGTAGGGCTCGATACTTTCCATACTAGACTAGTTCTACGGGTACTATATTGGATTAGATTAATTGATCTCGGTTATTATTGACAGCATAGCTGTAGTTATAGTCGATGATACCATGTTGATGATGAATATATATCTATCTGTTATGGATTGTTTCATGAATAGCTAGGAATACTAGGTACCTAGGTGAGAACTGCACCCTCTCTCTCTCTCTCTCTCTCTCTCTCTCTCTCTCTCTCTCTCTCTCCATTACTCTCAAGTCATCGATTCCAACGCATTCCACCCCCATCTACCTATCCGCACAGCTGAGCCAATTCGGGGATCAATATGGCGATCTACCAAACTATCTTTTCCTCCGTACATACTACATATCTCATTTCCTCATCGCATCCTCACTCTATACTAAGGAGGATGCATGCACGTTATTATTACGGAGTACCCTGGGACTGAACTGGATCTTGTATCATGTTTTTTTTTTTTATTTTTTTTTTTATCTATCTACATATCTATCTATATATCTACAGATCCGTGCATACATATACATCCGTATAGCTCGTTCCGAGCAAGGAGAATCAAGCACGGACACACAGTGGCGACATATCCCAGAGTCCAGTCCAGGACCAGCAACACGAGTTGAGCGCAGGGCCGGTTCCGGTGCCGATCCCCACACGCTGTCATGGCCAGCCCGGCCTATCAACGCCCGACCGGCCCTGAAAAGAGGGGCGGGTACCTGAATCTCACCCTCCAATCAGAGGGTTTGTCTTTCGGTGAGAAATCAGGGCACGACCGGACTTCCAGTCGGTGGACCAGTCACCGTCCAGTATTGGTCAACTGGGTGGTGGTGGTGGATGGATGGGTAGTTAAGCGGGTGATATTAATAGTATGGTGAACCTGCTGGGTGTAGACACACTAGTGGTGGTGTGGTTAGCGTGTGCCTTACTTACTTGTTGCAGTTAGGGGATGACTACATTGGTGTGTTGGTGGTTTGGTTTGGTTGAAATCTCGTGGCTCCATACTTGATCCTGATCCTTGGAACTGTTCACTTTACCAACTTACCTGACTACCAGGTTGGTCAGACCTGGGAGACCCTTTTTTTTTTTTTTTCTTCCCTTTTTTCTTTCTTTCGACAATGTTGGTGGCAGTGATGGGGGCAACATGAAACAGTGGCAGGTTTCTTGGCTCTCACCTCCCTGCTTTCCTGTGATGGATCTGGAACCCCCTACTGTTTTGGATGGGTGGTACAGAGTACAAAGTACCTGAGCTAGGGAGTCTGTCCTAGGTTGGACAGGACACACTGACTGGGATGGGAGTTGGAAGACCTGACCTGACCTGTCCAGGTCGGAAACACCCGGTTGGAACGGTCCAGGTCACGTTGGGTTTGGTTCGTGTCCCTGGGTTTGGTGGGTTTACCGGGTTGATTTCTCCAGTCGTCGTGTGTTTTTTTCTAATGGGTCCTGTCGTGTCTGCAAGAGGATCCAGTCCACATGGATTGGATGGATGGGCTGGACTAGACTGACTGACTGACTGACTGGATGGATGGATGGGTTGCTAGCCTGCTAGGGTGGATGTGGATGTGGATGTGGATGTGACCATCCAAAAGGGGGGAAGTGCTGGTCTTGCCCCACGTCGTGTACCTGGCGATTATTCATAATCATGGATGATGGACCCCCCCTTGGCACGGTCTAACCACCTCTGGAGTTATTTATAGCCGGTTGTCCGATTCTGTTCGCTACTAGAGTGGTGGTTTGTCAGGGGGGGGAAACCCCCCCGCTGGTTGACCAGTGGCCACCATGCTGGTCACTAGCCACCCACCTGCCCACCAGTGAGGAGGTTTGTATATTGGAGGGTGAATAATTGAGGTCAGTATTGGAGGATCGACAGTGTGTCCTTCTCTTTCTCCGTGCGAACGATGCACATGCATCTGGTGGCCTTGGTGGGAGGGACTTACTTGCCCTTGTTCGAGGGATGATTGGAGGAGGCAGTTCCCCAGCAGGAATCGGGCAGCAGAATCAGATGCGTCGGGACGCAGGGGCCATACTCCAATACTCCTCGCTTTGTTTTTTGTTTTTTTTTTTTGTCTTTCTTGGTTTTGTTGGGTTTGATTTTATGATATTTGATTATTGTTGTTGTGGTCCCTAGTATTCATTTGTTAGGATTCGGTGATGATCGTTGACGGGAAGCATAACCGACTGTAGTCATAAATATAGTTACAGAATCCCTCTGTACCTATTCCTGTTCTTGATAATTCCCTATTTTCTCAAGAGGCAAAAGGAAGCCCCACGGAGAGACCCAACGGTGACAAGTTCGACTTGGGAAAAAAACAAGAAAATAATCGAGAAAAAGAGAAAAAGAAGGAGGCTAAACCCGATTGGGATACCCCCATTGCCTCCTGAGCAGCCAGGCAGTGAGGCACCCAAGGCACCCACTCTCTCATTCTGACATTCTCACTTCTCTTACTGTCTCTTCTCTTCTTCTCTTCTCTTCTTCTCTTCTTCTCTCTCTCTCTCTCTCTCTCTCTCTCTCTTCCTCTCATCTTCCATCTTTCCTTTCCTTTCCTCCCACACTCTTTTATTTCTTGTTTCTTCATTCGTTTATCTTCCTTCTTTTCCACTTTCATTCATTTGACTTTTGTCTCCCCCAGTCGATCGTTTCACTCTTTCACGATCGACTCGCCTACGCGCTCTTCGCTCTTCGTACCCCCCTCTCGTGGTCATATATCCTCGTCATCTCCACCCCTCGCCCTCGCTCTCCCATCAGATGCGCTTGCGATTGTTCTTGGATTGATGAATCATTTGTTTATTGATTGAGGACCGGATTGATTCAAGACTCCGGCTTATTGATCCTCCACGAACGGTCGCGAAGTCTGGCCTTCTCTTCATCCTACCCAGCTGCATAGGTCGGCTGTTGATCTTCTCTTCTTCTTCAACCCATTTTGATCGCTCCCACCACGCTTCGGCACGACGTCTTCGTTCCCTGCGATCGAGTGCCTAAATCGAAGCGGCTTTCCTTTGATTCATCCGCCTGAATCGCTTGACGCGGCTTCAGACGACAGACCATCCATTCCTTCGACTGTCGACCGGATCGTCACTCCCTTCCCTCCTACCAACCATGTCTTCGATAGACACCCCGGATCCGTCGATCATGTCGGCCTCGTCCGCCCCTACGGCGCCCACCACGGCCTCCCCGTCGTCGGCTGCCACCACCCCCTCGCCCTCCGTCTCCAACGCCTCCATGCCGGGCCAGTCCTCTGCCCGTCGTCCCCAGCGCAAGAGCACCCTGACCCAGCAGCAGAAGAATAATAAGCGCCAGCGCGCCACCCAGGATCAGCTCGTCACCCTCGAGCTGGAATTCAACAAGAACCCCACCCCCACCGCCGCCACCCGCGAGCGAATCGCCCAGGATATCAACATGACGGAGCGATCCGTCCAGATTTGGTTCCAAAATCGGTGAGTTCTCTCTTTTCCCTCCCCCCCCTTCAAACTCGGTCGCGACGGCCTCTGACCGTCCGGTGATAGACGCGCCAAGATCAAGATGCTCGCCAAGAAGAGTATCGAAACCGGAGAAGGTTGCGACTCCATCCCCGAATCCATGCGCCAGTACCTCGCCATGCAGTTCGATCCCAGCAAGCCCGGCGCCCGCGACCCCTTTGGCCGCGCCGGCAGCTACGGCGGCCACGGCGCCTTTCCGAACGAGCCCACCCCGTCCGGCAAGGTTGTGATCCACCATTTCACCTGCCGCTCCCTGACGGTGGGCAGCTGGCGCCGCATCGGCCAGAACGCCATGGATCTCGTCGTCTTTTACTCCCCCGAGAAGGCCTGCATGACCTACTACATCAACAACGACTCCGCCGGCTACAAGATCGAGTACCCCTTTGCATACATCAAGAACATCACCCTCGAGTCGGGCGACCAGGCCCCGCAGCCCAACGGCGCGCCCCCGCGACCCGCCGGGTTGGTCGTCGAGCTGAACCGCCCCCCTCTCTTTTACATGGACTCGTCCAACTCCGGCGGCTTCTACCAGTGCGGCGATTTCACCGAGGACCAGCAGGCTAGCCAGATCCTCGTCCACCACCTTGGCGGTCACCCCAAGGTGCTTAGCGTCCAGCTCGCCAAGCTGGTCTCGCTCGAGTCCTTCCAGAACCGGCTGGCCTACAACCAATTCGCTATGCCCGGTCCCATGTCCCCGCCCTTCATCCAGCGGCCGGCTTCCCAGCCGAACCAGTTCGCGCAGCCCCAGTTCCTCGGGGTCTTCCCGGAGCACTCCACCGGCCTTCACATGCCGGCGCGCGGCCACAAGCGCCAGCGCAGTCGGTCCGTGCCCGTGGCCGTCGACTTCGCGGCCATGCAGCCACCTATGGGTGCCTACCCTATGACCCAGACGCACGCGCCCTACCACCACGCCGATTCGGGCATCTTCGCGCCTGTGCCGCAGTCGGCCGCCGGGCTGCCTGCCAACCTGCGGATCGACACCTCCGCTCCGTACGGCTTCGATCCTCGGGGACACCACCACCATCCCATGTCGGCCACCACCGCCACCGCGTCCCCGTCCGATTTCGCCAGCCCCTCCCTGTTCAGCACGGGCCCGCCGGGCGAGTCGACGCCAGTCGCCGCGACCATGGGCACGCCCTTCACCCTGCCGTTCCACGCCCCGGTGGTCGAGTCGACCGTGCCCACCCACGCCGCGTCGCCCTACTCCTCCGTCAGCCACGGCGATCCCCTGATCGCCGACCAGTCGCCGCCGCTGTCCAACCTGTCGCACGCGTCGCAGGACATGTACCTGGGGAGCGAGCACCAGTCCACCTTTTCCGACGACGGCATGTCCCTGGGCGGCATGTTCCCCAAGCCGACCGTGAACCTGGGGGCTGCCAACATGGGCCTCGAGGGACACCACCACCATCACTTGGAGCTGCCCATGCAGAGCCTGTCCAGCCACTCCTCTCCGGGGGTGCCGGATTATCAGGGCCTGACCGGGATGGAGCACGTGGATCACAATGCGATGGGAGGTTCCTGAGCTGCATTACCCAAGTGCTCTCAAATTTGAATAGTGTGCTGGTTGAAGTGGTGTCAATGTCGCCTACCTGATTAGTCCCGATGCGAGGCCGCACCCGGTCCGATCCGGGTTGGTCCGCACGGTCAAAGGACTTCCATCCCTGGGATGAATCCTCAGAACAGGACCTCATGATCCGAGGTCTTGTCGCGCCGATGTGCGAACCGTTGCTGTTTCTTTCTTGTTGTTTCTTTTGTATTAATACCCTTCTCCATTGGGCTGGTCCTTGAGCGTTCTGCTTTATTCTTGATTTCACTTCTTCAATTCTCTTCGTGTTCGCTGGCTCAGTGGACACGTCTTTTACCTTTTTTTATCTTTCTACCATTTCTCAACCTTTTAACCGTTTTGGTTGTTTTTTCTCCTTTTTTCTTTCTTATTTTTTTTTCCGGGCCATTGGATCTCTGGTTACAGGGTCTAGGGTCGGCTTGTAACGTGGTTATGCCAAAGTCAGGATGGCGAGATTGAGTTGGATTCCCCTTTGTTCTTCTGGGTCGGCGAGGTTGGACTTGATTTCCTTTGTATGGTTGGTCTATCTTATTTGTTAGTGTTAGTGTTGCGGAGTTGAGATATTTCGCATTCATTATTTACTCACATCATATTGTTTCAGTATAGTAGACTACGTACACTGCTGTAGGTTATACGTACTATACATACGATACAGGATATTATACATTTGATTATACACAGTAGTGACCCCATCACCCAACCGTCTTCTTCGACGAACCCGATCCCGAAGCCGAAGAATAAGGACGAGCCGGCCACGGCGCCCTCAACCCCCTCCCCTCCCTCAAGTACCTCTCCATATAAACCTCCATCTTCTCCAGCACCCCCTTCGCCCTTACACCGCCGCTCTCATCCAACACCCCATCCCGACACCAAACACTCCAAGCCCCCATCCTCACAGCCATCAACACATCCGTCCCCAACCGATCCCCAACGACGGCAATCTCACCCGCATGCTCGACAACCCCGCGCTCTTTAAACCACGCCAGCACCTCGCTCTCGCAGAACGGCTTCTTGCTTGCTCCGGGGGGCAGACGGAAGACGGGGATGGAGAGGTGCGCGAGTTGGGACTCGAGGGAGTGGATCTCGGAGTCGTAGGAGGGGTGCGAGCCGGCGCGGTTGGAGACGATGAGGATTGAGGACGGGGCCGTGAAGGGGGATGTTGGGGAGGTGCGGAGGGAGGTCAGTTTTTGGAGGATGGGGGCGGGGAGGTGGGTGGTTTTGGGGGGGCTGAGGGTGTTGTCTTTGTCGAGGATGAGGGCTTTGATTTGGATTTTGGGGGGTTTCTCGGGGTTGTCGGGGGGGTTGGTGGGTGTCGATGAGGTGGTGGAGGCGGAGGAGGAGGCGATGGCTGGACCCAGTTGCTCTGGGAGAGAGGTGAAGGTTGGGATTGTTAGGTGGGGGAGGAATTGGGATGGGTTGGTGAGGAGGGTTTGGACGGCGAGGTTGAAGGCGCGGAGGTTGGAGTTCATTTTCTCTCTTTCTTTCTTTCTTTCTTTCTTCTCCTGTGTATTTTCCTCTTTTTTATTTTCTGTTCTGTGTTCTTGATTCTTGTTCTTGGTCTTGGTTGATGTTGTAATTGCGTAATTGTGTGTAATTGTTTCTGCGGTGTTTATTTTATGTGTTTCCCATCGTTTGTTGTTGACATGAAGAGAAAGTATGGACGACCTAGCTTAAGGTAGAGTAGAGCAGATTTCTTGGCGCGAGCCGCAAAACTCTCCGACCTCATCTCCCTCCTCACTAGGTATCTGACTATCCGACTACATCACCTCCACTCTCTTACTCGGTCTATTTTTTCTTTTCATTTTATCACCCCTTCTATCTCCCCTCTTAACTTCATATTCAATACTACCACCTTTCCCGTCGTCAGCCCACACAATGGGCAAGTTAACCAGCTCGATCGGTATCCCGATCAAGCTTCTCAATGAAGCTCAGGTACACCCCATCCACTCCCTACATGGAATACTGCATGTCTTCGCTATGTTCAACATACTGATTATGTTATAGGGCCACGTCGTCACCCTCGAAATCACCTCCGGCGTCGTCTACCGAGGAAAGCTCTTAGAGGGTTCGTCTGCCCATACCTACACCTATACACACCTTCATACGCCTTCCACCCTCCCATACACACCTGCACCTTTCTACACCACCCCACACGACCCTATGTAAAAAGCTACGTACTGACTCAAAACAGCCGAAGACAACATGAACGTCCAACTCAAAGACATCACAGTCACCGCCCGCGACGGCCGCGTATCCCATCTCGACCAGGTGTACATCCGGGGCAGCCACGTGCGTTTCTTCATTGTGCCTGATATGCTACGGTATCCCCCTCTCCTCTCCTTCTTTCCTTCCTCCTCTCTCGTGAGAGACATATGGAAAACACATGCTAATCCCAAATGATAGAAACGCCCCCATGTTCCGCTCGCGGGGTCAACGCGGTCGCGGTGTCGGTCTTGCGCGTGGTAAGGCGACGGTGCAGAGGGCGAGGGGGCAGAGACGGGGGTGATCTCTTCTAACCTTTTTTTTTTGTCGATTTCTTTATCTTTTTATGGTTTTTTAGTGTCGGTTTTTCAACATACTTTTTCCCTTTTATGTCTGTGAAGGTGTCGCGTGTCTTGGGATTGATTGATTGTTGGCTGTAAGGTATCTACTAGATTAGTACCTTGAGGTTAATGCAGATGCATTTCCTTCTAATCGGTTTTTAATGATGGGTTGGTTTCGTAGTGGTTGTGTTGAATGGTTGATGGGTTGACAGGATCGTAGACTTGATTTACGTAGTTGGGCTATGAGCTTTTAAGTGAAAATCTAAAATGAAGCAAGTTGAGTATAACGAGTCTATCAAATTCACTCCATCCATTGAGTAAGGAGTTGTAAAAAGTAGAATCAACCATAGTGCTACTCTTCCAGTACGGAGTAGATATATAGCTATGTATGGCAACGTGATATTCCGCTCCGCTACTTCTCCGCCTCCTCCCCGCATACCTTTTCAACCTCCCACCTCACACCAACCAAACAGACACTCACACCACGCAGACATCTATAAACACCACTCATTCCTCACCCCTCACCCACCACTCACCAGTGCATCACTCCTCCAACCACAAAAAGCTTTCGAGATAGAGAAAAAGAAAAATGTCCCAAAAACCCCCCGCAAAAACTCCCGACCAAATCCGCTCCCCCCGCCGCCTCCTCACCCTAACACCGACCTCGCACTCCCTAACCATCATCCCTCCCTTCCTACATTCCCTAACCGGAGTCGCCGTAACGGATCCTCCCACTCAACCTTCAAACACCGACTCGCCTTCCCAACCCCAATCGACCGAACAAACACCCACCTTCGCAGGCTACACCACCCACCCGCCCCTCCACCTCGAGAACAAGTACTACACCGCGGACGTGCCGATCTGGGTCGACGAGATCCCACTTTCCACTTCACAGCCACACTCATCCAGCGACGAAAGCAACAGCGAAAGCAACAGCCCCGCCAAATGGCGCGCCGAGTTCTCGTCTGACGAGGCGCTCCCTGTGCGCGACGCGATTGGCGCGTTGGTTGTCTGTGTGCGCAATCCTTCGCCTCCTCCTTCTTCTTCTACGCCTGCTCCTCCGTCGGATGATACTCCGGCTCCGCCAGCTGCAGCGACAGCAGCAGCAGAAAACAACCCCGACGTGGAAGGAATCAAAACGTTAATGAAAGCCGTCGGGGACATCAAAAGTCTTATTGAGGAAGAGCGCAGCGATGGAGGCGACGTGTTGACACTGCTTGTTTTGGTGGGCGATACTTCGTCTGCTGCTACGACTACAGCTACAGCTACAGCTGGAGAAGATGACGATGGGGACGGAAATGGAGCCGCGCTGGACGACGAGCCGTTTTCGGAGCTGTGGTGGGAGGATCAGATGTTTGAGATGGGGTTGGTGGGGGTTGAGGTTGTGCGGTGGGATCCGAGGGTTCCTGAGTCTGAGATGCGGGTGAGGAATTCGTTTGGAGGTATGTCCCGCATTTCTATTTTTCTTTTTTTTTTTTCTTTCTTTCCCTTTCTATCTGTGTTTGAACACAAAAGAAGGAAGAGGGCTAATGGATGGTAGAATACCAAGGCATGACGCGCATCCGAGAAGTCCTTGAAACGCACGACTGGAACGGTTCGTCGGAGACTGTCTCTGGAGATGTTGGCGTTGGTCACGACGACGATCTCGAGAAGTACCTTCTTGGACTGGATGGTGATGGCGAAGGCAGCGATATCGACGACGAAGATACCGGTTTCGGGCTGGAAGTCAACGAGCTCGAGCGCGAAATGGTAGGATTGCGAATGGCGATTGAGAAAGGGGGAGATGTGGGCTTGGATTCTGAAATCGAGGGTGGGGAAGACGATGAGGACGAGGATGATTTAAGGGTGGATTCGTTGGGGGGGTTGATGTTGAGGATGCAGGCTATTAAAGGTTTGTCTCCGTCTCTATTACCCCGTCGCCTCTCTCGAGTGATATAGAGTATGTTAAAGCTAACAGTACAGATATGAGCGCCGAACTTCCTGAGCAGGAGCGGAAACGGTTTGCGGCGAGGGCGGTGCGGGATATTATGAAGGAGGTGTAATGTCTAATCTACATACTTAGATAAAAAAATACATACAGATGATCCCATCTGTCGAAAAGTTCTTCGAGGGCTTTCATAGACTAGATATGTACTAGTACTAGTACACGCGATATTACCACCATATATTCCGTAAATCACCCAAAATTACAAGCTCCATGCCTCTGATCATAAAGCGCATACCAGCCCAACCATACCACAATCTCAACCCATATAATACATAGACCACCCTCATCCACCTAAACAATCAACCCAGCCCAACCCATCCACCCATGTAATCCAAGGATCCAACCCTTAATCCTTCTTCTGCATAACCTTCCGTCTCTGCGCCATCATATGCGTATAGAGAATGTAGGAACCTATAAGAATCAGTTTAGCCTCATAATTCACACCCCCAAAGAAACAAGAGAGGAATACCAGGAACATAAATGCCCAACACAACCACAAACGCCCACCAAAGCAGCGGGTTCCACTCCCCCGCCGGCTCCAGCGCCTTCACCACAAGCGTGCACTCGCTGCTGATGCCGAGGGGGTAAAGCACGTAGAACGTATTGTATCTTATCACACTATCAGCACGTCATCTTCTCATAGAAAATTTCAAAAGAAAAAGAAGGGAAAAGAAGGAACATACCTCAGCCAAGTCCAAAAACCAGGAACACCCACCCCCGAAAGCGAGAGCACGAAAAAGCCATACCGAATACACTCGGTGGTACCCCACGCAGCCAGACAGCCCAGGAAGGCATAATCGCCCATTTGCACGCTGTTCCCGCCCACGATGCCTTCACCGACGGCAGCGGGGCCACCCGCGCGGAACGGATACATGATCCCCCAGATGAGCAGCAGCCGCGACGAGACCTGCATGGCGGTTGTGGCGACCGGGGCGCGCACGAGGCCTGTGAGGCTGTGGAGGATTTCGAGCGCGGCGAGGGATTGCGTGGTTGTCAGGAGGGGGGAGTAGAGTGCAGTGAAGGCATCTGTGGGGGATGCGGTGGCGAAGAGGGCTTGAGCGCCGCGGAGGAGACAGGTTGCCCAGAGGGTGAAGGAGAGGGCGTTGTAGGCGAGGAGGTAGAGGCGGGTGAGGCCGGTTGGGCCTTTTGTTTTGGGGGGCATTTTTTATGCTTTTTTTCTTGCTTTATTTCTTGGTTGTTGGTGTTGTTGGTGTTGTTGTGACTTTGATCGTTTGAGGGAAGGGTGGGTTGTTGGTGTAGGTTGGTTGGTGGTGATGGTGGTGGTCAATTGATGGATTGTTTATGTAGTTCTAAGGTGGATAATGTTGTTGAGTGTTGAGAGCCTAGGTATCTCCGGCACTGTCTGTGTTTTCCCCATTGGGTTAGTGTGTATAGATTAGTCACTTATGAAAGTTTATTGTATGTGCATAAATATGTGATCCAGCCAGTATCAGAAGTGAAGTATGGAATACTCCGTATAGATTGTCTGTTACCGATAAATAGATTAATATAAGTATAGATAACTTTCTGTTGATTATCAAGTTAATATAGACCTTATCTAACTGTTGATGATCTTGTCCTTGGCTTGACTCGGTGTACCCACAGTTCATGCTCGCCGGCAGTAACTTTGTTAGATTGATGACTAGCTTGTTTGTTTGTATTACTGTGGGTTGGGAGGTAAGGAGGTTTATGATCACAAAGGTAGTACAGAGTTCAGATTGAATAAAACTGATAAGGTTGAAATGTATGGATATATTGATCGCTGTTTAAGTTAAACCATAGAATCATATATCTGGTATGTCCAGCTGGTTCTGAGAGCAAGCCTCGCAACTAAACAAAGCCAGATATTTATTTCAGATCTCATTCTAGGTCGGATATGAAGTCAATTCCCACTGAGACACTCACATGTATACAGTCGGTACTTGTTTATTCCCGTCTGTACAGACCCTGTACAGAACAACCGAAGTACGGAGTAAAGCCCACGGTGATTCCCTGCAGACGTCGTATTCAACAACGAATAGACACTAAGACACGAAGTCGCACTAACAGCAAGGGTGTCACCTCGTGATGTCACGCATTAGACTGTTGTGACCCTCAGATAGATCAAGTGTTCAGATAAAATCAAATGTCAAGTGTGAGTCTTAAGACCGTGGGGTTATTTTCATGGCTGCCATAATCAATCATGTCACAAGTCTCCAGACGGAAATAGACATAGAAAGACCAGGCTGTACCAACGTGAAGCTCGTCGAACGGTGACGAGGATAGAAAGATCCTAGTCTAGTCAGCGCTAGCGAGAGCGAGATTCGGCCGATGCTGTCGGGGCTCTATCCCAGTCTTATTAGCTTCTGAATCTATAATAAGTTTTCAGTTAGTGGTGGTCTCGACCACGTCGTCAGACGGAGCGAGCTCTAGTCAATGCGGCGATGTTTGCTCCGAAGCAGGGTGGTATAAGGCGGTGGAATACACCATACCATCTCCTAGGTTAAGAAGAATCTGGAAGGACGGCCGGCTGGAGAAAAGCCTTGGCACGGGATCTGTCAACGTCAGTGGCGGCCACGGATTAGCGGCACTTCCCTCCCCGATGATGTCATTCTGGGTATTGTATGCTTTGATAGGTTGGACCCCCAGCCAGGCCGCCCTCAGGCACTCATCTGCCGACCCCAGGCATTCTCTCCTCCGTACAATAAAAAGACGGGAATTCCCTCGTCGGAGAGTTCAGGTTTGAGTTGTCATGTTGTCCAATCATTGAGAATTTGGCCTTTCAACTCACCCTCGATGGATTCGATCTTGTGTTCCTCACCGTCTGATGGTCGCCTAGATCTTGCTGTCTCCTGACCTCCTCCTCACCTGGAAAAATGATACGGAGAAGGGGGAAAAAAAAAGGGCTGGCATTGACCCTGCCATGTTTGCAAGCAGTTGATCGGTTCGATTGGACGTTCCAAAGGGGCCAGAACGTCCGTCAAGCACTCTGGTGGCGGGCAATGATTTTAGTCTTGCCGCGAATATTCTGGCGGTCGAGTTGCGTAATTTTCCAGAGGGGATCGAAGTTTGAATCCTTTTCTCACTCTTATGCCTTGTCTCGTTTTTTCTATACATCTTTTTTTGTATCCTCTTTTTTTTTTTTCTTTCATTCTCTTTCCCAAACCATTCGGGGTAAGTATTTTGGGTAAGTGAGAGAGATCCTTCGGTATAATTTCTCCCCTCAGACGACGAACGCCGAGAGAAGGGCAGGGATCAACATCCATGCCCAACGCCAAGCCCACCAATCCCAAATGGGTAAGTGCAGTCCATTTTAAGGGCCAATTACGTCAGTTGTGGTGCTATGATTTCAACATGCATCCTGATCCCACACACAGGTGGGGATGTTTTCTTTTTTAGCCTTTATTCTTTTCTTTTCCCATTCTTCATTTCTATATTTTGTATTTTCTTCTATTTTTTATTATCATTTGTGATGGAGAAGAATAGAGAAGTAGGCAAATATAATATATATATACATACTATATATATTTATCATAAGCCAATCTACACACGGTCACTCTTGTAATCCAATCGAGGGGTTTGTTATTAGCTCGGGAATGTCTAGAACACACTCCCCCCCTCTTCCATTGTTACCCGATGGCAGGCTCGTTTCTTCGCTTTGCATCCTTTGGGACGGACTCCACCGCATGATGGACTAAAGAGCCCGAGGCAAGTGGTGGGATGTTTAGCGGCAGATACCTGGGTTCAACTGCATCAATATTGACCATCGAGTTTTGTAGAAATGTTGTTACATGATCATCGATTCTGTAGTCAAGGCGATGGAGGAATAAATAGGACATTGATATTGAGATGACCCAATGATGATGATGGTGGTCATGGTTACCAATGACGCCAGAGTCGTCCGTCATCTGTTCCACCCCGACCTTTCTTTCTCTTGTACGGAGTACACAATTTGATCATCACTTTTCACACTCTCTTTTTTTTTTTTTTTTTTTTTCCTTCCCCCCCCCCCACTCTCCTCTACTATTCCTCCGTTACTTTACTCTTCTTGACTTCTTTTCCCTTATGCAGCCCACTAGGTCGGTGTCCAATGACTGTCACCGCCTGATCGTTTTGACCGGTGGGTTGTAGTATTATTCAGTTGGATAGCATGGATGTCATGCTCTTCTGGTTCGGTTTTTAGCCCCAATCAATGAATGGTTCTTAATTCCCCTTGCCTCTAACTAAAAACTATCCTGTCTTCTTTCTTTCTCTTCTGCTTCTTTTTCTCCAAATCCATTGACCCCTCCTCTCTTCCAATCTCTTCGGTTCATTCCATGACGCTAGTCCGCGGTTCCTTTTCCACACTTGTTGGCTAGTTTTCTTTTAACCTATCTTTTCTATCTTCTCTATCTCTTGGGCTTCTTTTTTTCTTTTCTTTTCTCTGACTCTTTTCTTTATACTGTCACTATTTGAGTTTCTAAACACATCTCTCTATCATATTCCTATCCTCTTCTATCTGTCCCAATATCCAATCTGATATCAACAACTCAGACTGGTCCATCAGGTTAGTCAATCTTATTATCATCATCTATCTGGACAACCTTAGAACCCCTCCTGTTTTGTTTTGTTTGAATCCATTTTTTTTTCTCCTCCACATCGCATCGGTCAACCTAGAGAACAGAAAAGGAAAAAGAAGGGAAAAAAGCCTAAAGAGAAGATCTCTTCTTATCCTTTTCTTTTTCGTTTTGCTTTCCCCTCTTTGATTGCTTTTTTTTCGGTTTTTTTTTTTTTCTATTTATTTTTTATTTTTTTTTTTTATTTCACCCGTCCAATCTCCCCAACTTGACTTTTTGATACTTCTTTCTACCTTCTCTCCCCCTCCTTTTCTTTCCTGATTCCAATCTTCTGTCTGTTTGATTTTTGATTGTCAATTCAATTCCAATTCTTTACTCCATCCCTTCCGTGTCAGACTGCAATATACCCCGGCCTTGTGCCCAAGCGAGACGCCAGGTGGGATTTTCCCCTGCTTCCATAGTGGTGCAATACTGCTGGAAGACAATTTCAGAGCCTCTACCCCTCCTCCCATGGATTTCCCCTCCCCCTCCTTCCTCGTTCCTTCCCTCCTCTATCTCCATGTGGATCCCTTTCAATCTCATTCTCGGGTGACTTGACTGTTTGATCCGGGTCCGGTCTCTCGGCATCCTCTCCCTTTCACGTTGCATTCTCCTTCAAACCCCATCTGTCCCGTCATCTTCGTGTGATATCCTCCTTCCCCTCTTCTCCTGACTGGGATACACGTTGTGGCTGAGCTGCTCAACGGTGTTCCGTTCTCGGTAACTACCTTGTGCTCGCTATCCCATGCCTAACCGTTGATAACCTTCATCTCTTGTCTCCCTCTTCACTGTCTGTTCTTGCTGTTCTTGCTGTTCTTCACCCGCGTAATCACCATTACGTAGGGCAGTACTCTGGATATCAATCACAGCTGTGCCGCCGGTCACTCATTCATGGACTGTCAGCTGACCCCAACCTGGAACCAGCAGATTCACCCAGCGTAATTCCAGTACACGTGATCTGTCTAGTTTATCTCACGCCTTGAACCTCTCCAAACCATCTTGAACCATCCTAAATCCAACCTCGACATCCATCTTCAATCGGCATCCTAAACCACTCCATCACACCGTCATCCATTTACCCAGGTCACATACGGTTCCGGTGATCCCGAATCCGAACGAGAGCAGACAGACCCCTCCACATCACAAACATGGCACCGACAACGACCACTAAGACCGTAAAGGGCTCTCCTGTACGTGGCGAGACTGTAACGTCTCCTCGCGCAGAGGTCGAGACTAACGCCGAGCAGCCCAAGGAGGCCCCTACGAAGAAGAAGTGGTCCGACATCACAGACAGCATCGACAAGGCTACATTCGACCAGATCTTGGAGATGGATGATGACGACGACCAGGATTTCAGCAAGGGCATTGTCTTCGGCTTCTTCGACCAGGCTGAGAGCACGTTCGAGAAGATGGAGAAAGCGCAGTACGTTTTTTTTCCCCCCCTAGGAGCGGGAGCTCGAGCTCGGCTGACTAGGTCTGTAGGAAGGATGAGAACCTCAAAGAACTGTCACAGCTCGGCCACTTCCTCAAGGGGTCCTCGGCTACTCTGGGCCTGAGCAAGGTCAAAGAGGCGTGCGAGAAGATCCAACATTTCGGAAACCAGAAAGACGAAACGGGCTCGACTGACGAATCGGACGACAAGATCTCGCTGAAGAATATCGAGAAGACCCTGACCGAAGTAAAGAAGGACTACGAGGAGGTGGAGACCTTCCTCCGCCGGTATTACGATGACCCTGTGTCCTGCAACTAAAGAAGAAGACAATTCAAACCTACCACCAAACATCTCAAAACAACCAAACACACCCACCGGTTGAACTGGACTGGACTACGGAAGAACCAAGGTAGATGGCAGTCTCATTGTTGTCTGATGGACATAATACCATGTGCTCTGAAAATTGGCACATTCTCGCGCTCACCACACTATCACCCTCACCCTCAAAGTCAAGCCAAGCCAATCAATTCGAAATCCGAATACCTTACCTAGCTTTCTTCTTAAGACTTGCCCGGACAGACACTGTTGACAGGTCCTGTCCATCCAATGAAATATGGGTACATTGCCACATGATCTAGGGGTAGACTTTTCTTTTTTTATCTTTTCCTTTACTCACTTCTATCTATTCCTATCTCTTTATGTTGGTTGTCATTTGTCTAGTCTAGCGGGTTATGTTATGTTATTTTTCTAGCAAGATATCATGTATTTATGTACACCGGCATGAATTGGGTGAAGCAGTACCATCAAACATTATGCTAGACTTGAGTAACTAGTCAATGGGTAGTCCTCAGGTATATTTACCACTTGATAGATTGTGATAGTGACTAGCAGCTAAAAATAGCCCTCAAAACCAGTAGATCATGAATATCATCTTACTACACTTATCACAGGATATCAGATAAACCATCAGGCAGAGACTAAGTAGTAACAACTACAGCATCAGATAACAAAAGCAGCATTGAAGATCGAAGATCAAAAGAAAAGACAAATGAAAATCAGTACAATTATACTCGAACCTAGCTCGGCCTATATCAAGCCACTTATATGATGGTGTCATCTTTTCCCTTGCACTGGTACCTGGGTAGATATCTGGGTCCTTACTCTGGGATAGTATAGATGTGTAGATAGGTAGGTAGCGGTAGTAGAACTATATAGTATATGGTATATAACACTATATATAACAATTCAACAATACTAATACTTCCCATAATAGTATTAATAGCTATAAACAAATTATAATCAGAATAATATGATAATATATTATAACATCAACCATCAGTAGTAGACACTAAACTAGAACCCTGTACAACCGCCTCACTCACTCCGTCCGTTCGCCATGCTGTGTCGTGTCTTGTCGCGCACCCCTCGACCCGGTGCGGTGCACGACTTTTGGCTGCGATCTTGGTAAGGATTCGTCGGGTCTTTTTTTCCTTCCCTTTTGTCTTGAATAACTTTGATTTCAGATTGTTTTTGTTAACTTGATGATGTTTGCTTGTTTTCTTGTTGTTACTGCCTCCTACCTACCATGGATATATTATTCTAGTAGTAGGTAAGAAACCGAGAATGCAGGATTGGCGGATGTGGATATGGAGGTGTCCTCGTGGAAAACGCGGTATAGTGTGGCGTGTTTGTATGCTTCATCCTTACTTGGCTCTATATCATGTTTGATACGTTCCAGTCTATTGGTGATTCTCCCTTCTTGGGTTGTTTATCATCTACCTATCTTCATTCCTCGTTATCTTACTTGAACCCCTATTATATACCTAATAGGTATATATATTATATTAACGAAACAGATAAGATCATATACAATGGGTTACTCCCTATTGTATTCCCCCTACCAAGGTATGTATGCAACCAACGGTCTGTCCCACCACAATCCGCCCCCGACCTCCATTCCAACTTCCCAGAAAAGCACATATGTACGTATGTACGAACCTACAAAGCAACAGAATCCATAAAGCAGACGGAAATGCACAAGCGGAAATTGACAGACAGGTTGCACGGCAGAGGGCAACATCTGCAGGGGAGGAAGTCTGTTTCTGTTGGGTGGATAGGGTTTGTTTGCATGATCTGGATGATACTATATAGGTATGATGTGTGGTGGAGTGGAGTGGGAACCTCGGGAGAGGATTGAGTGAGTCTGCAAACGGGGTCGGGAGGTTACTTTGTTTACTTTGTTTTGGGCCTTTTGATTACTGTCTGTTGTTTATCTATCTAGCTGTCCGCTGCGTGTATCAAATGTTAGCCATCTAATATCATACGATCCCTTGAAGGTCTAGTCAACAACCGAACATTGTTATAGAAATATTCCTCTATACTACATGCCTAGACAAGACCAACATAACAGCCAAGACAACATAGAAGAGAAAGAAAAACAAAAAGGATAAATCCTCCGGAACCATCTCCAGCCCATGCTACACAACAAGACGGCTACGTACATGACGCCCGTCCATCCAACGAACCAGCTCCGCGCTGCCAAGTCCGAACCTTTGTACGGTGGTCCGATTGCTTTCATCTGTTTGCGTTCTCTTTCTTGTCGGGGATTTATTGCTTTTCTATTCTTATTATCATCTCTTCTGTTTGGTGGCTCACACAACGGGGCTGCATCGCGTCTTGTCTTGTCTTGTCTCTAGCGGAGTCGCGTTGGTTTGGTTGTTGATGCATGCGAGACCGTTTGGAACAAACCCTTTCTTCGTATTTATCTCTTTGATTATCTGTAGTTAGGAACCAGGTGGTATCGTTGTCTTACTGTTCCTAGCTAGGTCTATGTCTACTTACCTTGTATGACTACCACAGTACTACACCCAAAGCCTAAGACTGCAACGATAATCCGACCCGACTGGGACAACCATTGCAGCTTCCTAGGATGAATGGTAAGTCAGTACTAATAGGCCCAGTAAGGAATCCATACATTCATGCTGAATCGTTGGAGTACGGCTCGTCGCTATCCGGCTTCAAACGCGGCAGGCGGCCGACAATCAGTCCATCCTGTAGTAAAGATGGTGTATGGGAGCGTCCTCATTCTGGATGATATGCTCTGGTCATTGAATAAATTAACGGGTGCTGTGCGACGTTTGTCGGCCCTGGTTGGTTGGTGAGGGTGCTGAGATGGGGAATTACCTTGACCTGGCACTCACTTTCTCCTGAGATATATTTCTTTTATTATTGTTTATTTTTTATCCGTCTTCAATAAGGAGACAAAAGATAGGAAAAGAAAAAGTTATTCTAAGATTCAATGCGGTGAGAAACGCTCATCGAACTCGTCTTCCAGTGGTTTTTTATATACTACTCGAATGGTGTCGTGTCGTGTCTCAAAGGTTGCATTTGCATTCGCATTTATTCCTATTCTATTCTCCATCCCACGTCTATTGTTCTTGTTCGACTCGACTTTGATTTCTTTTTCTTTACTGGCTTGTCCCCCTCCTTTCTTCTTTCTTTCCTCCTCTCCTGATATCGACATCAATCACCAGCTTATAACCCGTCTATCCTATCCCATCTATCTATCTCGACCTCAATCCACCACAGCTCAACACCACGAACGACCATACCCAGAGAAACGAAGAATAAGGGAAAAAAACAGATCAATGCCCCCCGTAGGCCCCCGAGCATCCAAAGAAGAATTCATGCAAGCGCTGGGCCTCAACTCCCACGACCCGCACCATGAGCAATTCTACCGCGCCATGAGAGTATGTCCCCATTCACCCTGAATACACACACACACACACACACACACACACACACACACATATATATATACATATATACGGAGGCATATGTTCATATAATATAATAGGACGACGCAATCAGAGTATACAGCCGCCTAAACGAAGACACCTCCAGCCTCCTCGACAGCGTAGCCAACGACCCCGCCACGCGCCCGCCCTTCTTCTGGCACCACATTCGCCCCGAGCGCCAGCGTCTCGCCATCCGCGACATCGCCGAGAATGCGGGCCCGCTAACGAAACCGCTCTTTGCGAGGGGCGACACCTCGGGCGAGTATGGGCCGAATTGGGTGGCGGGTTGGTTGCTGTATAGTGTGTTTCGGTCGAGGGATGTGAGGAATAATAGGAATAGGAGGAAGGGGGATGATTCTGGTTTGTCTTTCTTTTTTTTTTTTTTTAGGTTTTTGATTTTGGGCTTTGGGCTTTGGGGATGTGTATATTTGGTTGTTTGACGTATTGCTGATTTATGTGTAGGACAAGGAAGATCGAACCAGCCGAGACAGGCTGATGAGGGCCCTGCGACGAGATATTATGATCCTGTGAGGAATGGGTAGATGGTCGGTGGATGGTCGGGTCGAGAGAAATGGTCTGGCATTGCAATGGATTGGAACGGATGTAGAGAATGGTAGATGGATGGTTGAGATAATAGACGACCTTATAATAATTTAATCATCCCCATCGTCTTCCTTAGGAGATCCATTCCGGTCATTTCGCTGCTTCTTCAGCGCCTCCGTAACGCGCTCATCCCGCTCATCCTTCGTCTCATCCCACACAACATCATACTCCGCCGCGATGGTCTTGATCTCCCGACGCAGCATATTGCCCTCGTCAATGAGCGACGCCCACAGATGTAGATCCACATCCTTAGCCTGATACAGCTTCTTCTGCCTCGCGCTGATCGTAAAGTCCAGCGCAGACCGGTAGGATATCTCGCGGTTATGGTAGAGGAACCACAAGTAGCCGCCCATCAGCGTCGACAAACTGACCAGGTACGTCACAGGCTCCATCGTGTCCCAGCCCAGATCCGTCCCAAACGTCAGCTTGTACACCAGGCACCACCACGACGCGAGGATGCCGAACCCGCAAATGGCCACCCGCTGCGCGCCCCGCTGCGCCAGCGCATCGCACTCGTGCTTCACCTCCGCCATCGTCTTGATCCGATCGGAGATCTTGCGCAGCCGCATGCGCAGGAAGTGCGTGCGTTCGTTGAACGTCGGCACCTCCACGTGGATGAGCCGGAGGCCGGTTGGTGCGCCCTCCACGCTGACGACGAATTCGCGTGCCCGTGATGCGTCGCGCACGAAGTCGCCGATCTCGGTGGCTTGCGACCACCGCACGAACCGCTTCTTTTCTTCGGGTGCGGTCTGGTGCAGGTACGTGTAGGGGTCGTCTTGGTTGTCGGCGTCTTCTTCGCCCCCCCATGCTCGGTACTTGCCTGCTCCGCCGTCTTTGAGCTTGTTAACTTCTGTGTCGGTCGCCTCGTAGATGGCTTTTCGTGGTAGGATTGGGTTGTCGTCGATTTGGAGCGCTAGGAAGGATACTTCTGGCGGGATGGACCGTCCTTGGTCGACGGCTATCGGGGGGATTTCATTTTGAATGAGCTGTTTCAGTTGGGAGAGAGGTTGCTGCGGATGCACCAAGATGGCAATTGGCTCGACATCTATTCCAATTAGCGTCTATCTTTACCAACAAGACAGGAAGACCAACCTCTGCTCTGCCGATGATCCTGCTCCGACTCCTCCGACGTCGTCAACGGAATCAAAAGTTTGAACAGCTTCGACGGCGTTGTCAACAGCTTCCCTGTACCTTATTCTCAGCCCTATCCTCATAATATCCTTTCCTCACTCCGCCCCTTTCCCTCTGGACATCAGTGTAACATACCTTTGGTCATCGCATCCGCCAATTGCTGCCTCGACCCTACAGCCCCCCCTTTTTTCCTCTTTTTATGCGGTTTCCCCCCTCCACTCCCTTTCGCATCCTCAGCCTCAGACCGGGCACCCCTCTCCAACTCCAGCCTCTCCAGCCTACCCGTGTCATTCCTCCCGCCATGCGATTTTCCGTGGGGAATTGTCCTCCCAACGCTATTCCCAGCGGTAAATGAGAACCCCCGACACGGCGGGAGAAGCCACGGCATCTGAAGCACAGAGCAGCTTATCCGATCCGCGAAACGCCCCGACGGACGAGAAACCGTCGCTGCTGCCGCGGTGGCGGCGCGCCCTATAGGCAGACACCGCATTGGGGCGGAATACATCGCGCCAAAATGAAATCAAGTGGGAAAATGAAACACACTGGCATAAGCCACTGAGTCTAGGCTTAATTGCAAGAAGAAGAGTATGCCAGTCCACAGCGAGAGCACAACATGTTCTCTGGATGGTAATGATAGATTGAGCGATGAAGTATAGCAGGTAGTCTCGGGCAGAATTGAGTTTTGTAGTCAATCGTCCATTGGGTATCGGTCTGTTGAAATGGAGATAGGGGTTAGTGTTGTCATTGTATCCCTGCGTCTCTCCTTAATTTTAAAGAGAAAGAGAGACATGTACTGACGTATGGGTGTAGATCGGGCTGTGTTCCAGGTTTCCTGGAAGCTTCGATCGAAGCTAAGAGGCGGATCGGGATCGTCTACGTCATGGTGAGTCAGCTTTCGATTATTTATAAATGTGTGCCTGAGGCAATAATTGCATTGTTGACCTACAGAGTATACATCCAAGCGTCTTATGTGGCCAATTGGTCGTCAATTATAGGTGTAAATGGCGGTGTGACTATTATTTAAAAATAGCCTAGTAGTCGACATTTCTTCCAACGCGGATTCGCTATATGAGACACGTTGACAGAGCTTCGGTTCGAATCATGCGCAGATGGTGCCTGGGTGATCATTGTAGATTGTTTGGCGGCCATTCATTCATTAAACCGCAGGCCACTGCAATGAGGCATAGAAGCAAGTCAATTTCAAGAAGATAGAGAGATAAGTAACGAGAGATCATCTTTGGTCATGTTCTTCCCTCCCCATCATCGATACTCGTCATATCAGAATAAAAAGAAAGAATTGGAAAAAGACTGGCAATCGATCTATCTGGATATTCAAGTCATGTCATAAGTCGTCGCGCCATCAATACCTATTTTGGTCCATTGAGATTTTCCTCCCCTCCTTCTTCCCTACTCTTCACCTTTCTCTCTCCCTTCTCTTCCTATCTTCCCACCCAATACAGACAGCCTTACATAGCTCTCCCCCCAAAAGCAACCACCCTACCCGGCCCAACCTCCCTTCTCTCCCTCCCCAGATACCCCAACTCACAACTCTGAGGACTACTCCCCCCACTCCTACTCTCCAGACTCGCACTGGTAGAAGTATCGATATCATCGCCGAGACGACCCTTCCGGCCCGTCCCAATAGCCACAGGGATACCCTGGATGACGCCGCCGTGGTCGTGGCCCACGGGATACATTCCGTCGTTCACAGAGAAGTCACGGCAGATGAGATACGCGCGCATGGCGGCGTTCTCGCGCGCCAGCGTCTCGGACTTACACACTGCGTCCGTCTGGTACTCGCGGTTGTTGACGCGCACGATGCAGGTGAATCCTGTGGTGTCGGTGTAGGATTCGTAGAGGGGTTCGGGCCAGCGGCGGCGGCGGCAAAGACCTGTTTTGGGGGGTTATTTTTGGTCTTGCATTTGGAGTTGGGGGGAGGATGAGCTTGTAGGGGAGGTTTCGGGGAGGAGTTGTATTGTGCGTGTATGTATGTATGCATGTACGTATGCAGGCGGCGAGCAAACAGGCAGCAAACGACTGATTGATGGCCTGGGTGGAAAGACAGCAAATCACGATCGGTGGATATAGGAGAACCCTTTATCTAATCCCTGGTAGGACGGCTTATTCTGGGTCTGGGTATTCAGATGAAGAGGGTAAATGGATGGATAAAAATAAGATAGGACACGAATAGGATATGAGAGGATGACGAAGAAGGGCACCAATTGATCCAATGAGATCAATCTAGCGATTAATGGAATCAATCAAGCAAACAGCAAACGAAAACGACTACATACTGGCCAGGTAGAGGATATAGTACATGATGAGGCCCAATAGGTGGCACGGGATAGCCCCGATAGTTCAGTGACTAGCAATCAAGCCAGAGACATGGAAACCCGCGCTTGATTGCGTTTGTTGATGCCCAATGGCCACGTTCCTTTACGGAGCGAGCCCAAGTGCGCCGTGACCAGGAAGCGGATCAGAGAGATATGGATCAATGGCGCGTGAAGACGGGACCCTGAGAGGGGCGGGAGACGTGGCGGTTGACGGGAGACAGCAGCAATGTGCCATATAACAGGGAAGAAGAAGAGAAAAGAAAAGAAAGACGAGCAATTGTTTTCATGGTCTCGGGACAGAAGGAAAGAAGGTAAGTAGGTATAAAGGGTTCAAATAAACAGGTGGGGTTTCCTTCATTTCAGCAAGACAAGACCCTGAGGGACCAAAACCATAATCATCGCTCATATCATACATGATCATAGGGAGAGGGGACCAGAATCCCATCATAACACCGCGACAAATGAACTCGCACGAAAAAAAAGAAAAAAGTAATAAGATAAACAAGTAACCATGCTAGTCATGATCCATCCAGCCAACGGTTTCCAGACCGGCTCAATTAGACATCCCCAGCAGATTGGTCGAAGGGGCCCAGATCCGAGGAAAATTCGATGATCGCATGCGCCCTAATGCTGGAGACCAGGACGGGGAGGGGGGGAGGGGCAGGATGGGAATCATCCATGAGTAAGTATGGTTGAAACGTTGATGCGCTGGCATGGCTCATTGCCAGTGGGCCGGCATATGGAAGAGACCTCGTCCTGGTCCCATCGGCCACGCTGTAATTCGCCGCCGATCTAGCGGTTGTTCCTCAGAATGTGTTCTTTTCGTTCTTTTCTCTTTTTTTCTGGCAATTACCTTCGTTATGCGCCGAGTCTTGGATGCAGGAGAGGCTGTTCGAAACCCCGCAGCTTATATGAAACGAGAAGGATGGATTGAGTGGAAGAGAGTAAGCAAGCATAAATGATCAGGAAGTCAGGAAGAGTCAGGAAGAGTCCGGAAGGAATCCTGTGAGAGCCAGATCATCTATGGGAATGGCTAATCTGCATGTGCAGCACAGGCTCATAGCTCCATCAGGGAGGCTTTACTAGTCTGGCCCACATGGATAGGTAAACCGAAAGACAAAACAATCCGTTGTTATTGTAGATAGGGCTTTTTGTTCATTTCCCCTACTTTGTTTTACTCGATTTTACTCACTGAAATTCAACCGTCTCTGGACCCTCAAATTAATTGAACTAAATTAAATAGAATAGACCAATATAAAATAATAAGTAAAATGAGATAAAATAGATAATCCAGTGGATCCTAGGATTCTACTTCCGCCATTTCCGTAGTCAACCGCGAATGCAACGATGAGTTGGCAAACCTTTTGTTTATTATTCAGCGGGGAAACCCATGCACTTCCACACCAAACAAGCAAGAGAACTTTCAATCCTCCTGGTAACTAACTACCTCGGTAGGATTTATTCAACCGGTTGGATTAAACCCGTCCAATTGACTTTCTCGGGGAATGAAGACGTATCTTTGGGTTTGATTGAGTCTATATTAGGTTTTCGTCTAACTTTCATCTGCCCCGGTGGGATTGGGTAATTCTTCCGCGAGACTTTCGTTGGACATGCTGGATGTAGGTTATTGTATTGTCTGTGCGTACCTTACTTTCTGGATGGGGTGAGTTGTTGGGGTATAGGACTGAAATGTGGTTGCTTCTGCAAATGACGTCAAGAAGTTAAGGACCAGTCTGGGCTAGGTTAGTGTGGTCTTTTGAAGAAACAAAAGAAAAATAAAAACAAAAATCATGGTCAATAAAAGAGATAGCTGAACCAATTCCCATCAACACCCACTGAGCCGTGTGTTCTCTTATTACATGCATCTACCTCCCTGGGTCTCCGTATGTATGTAATTACAGGGGTCCCGGGTTCTGAAGGAAGAAGATAGACAGACTCGGCGGTCACAGGTGATACAACCCCAGATCAATCAATCAATCAATATATAAAGTGGAGATGCTTACGTCGTACTGAGGGTTGGAACATTTTGCATGCGTTGGCTTAACGAATGCTAATTTAGTTGACCAGGTAGGTAGGTAGGTAAGTGGGTAGTGCTACTCCGGCTCTACAGGAAGTGCTAGCTGTCGCTGGATTCATTCTGTTGATCTAGTGGGTTGGGTTTGATACAGATGATAATGAAGATGATGACGATGATGATGATGCCATAGCGCACTGCAGGTGGCTCGATTTGGTGAGAGGGCGTCCTTCGATCCCTTGCTTTGTTCAGAGCGGACTTTCTTGGTACTCTCATTTTCTTCCCCCGCCCAGCCCGCGTAGTTGTGAACGACATGTTCAACTTATTTGGGATCGTAGCCGGTAGATTGATTACATGCTTATTGTACACGGATCCATGCTGTTCTGTGTCACTTGCCGGGAGTGTAGGGCCGTAACCATTTTTCCTCATTTTTTACTGATATTACTTTGTTCTATCATTCCCTCTGTTTTCTTTCTTCTATCCATGCCCTTGCAAGGGTGAGGAAGGGGGGAATCTCAAGGATTAAAGGGCTCGTGCTCAAACCAGAGACGCATCCCCTCTGCAGCCTCGTAGGGAATCACATATACCGGGTGGGAGGCTCTCAGCCGGTCACTCTCGTCAAAGACGTTCCGGTCTTGGCCTTTGTCGTCGGAGGCGACGAACGGGCGATGTTTCCACTGAAATGATGAGGGGAGTGTGTCTTTGGTGCTGGCGCTTGACTCGGTCCGGTAGTGGTGATGCTGGGTGTTGCTCAGGCCTGTGAGGGTATAGCACGTGTGGTACGAGTCGGGACGTCTGGTAAAACGTATCAGTATAAGAGACGATGGATATTGTCGATTGAACAAAAACTCACTTGCCGGGCTTGTCGCGAAGCCCCCCGTTCTTGGACTGGCAACAAGCAAGGATATATCGAGTCAGTCCCTCGCGACTATACAGGCGACCAACGGAGGTAGACTGCGACGCTGCAGTCGACAGCGGGCCATCGAGAGCAGACTGGATCAATGGCCAGCAACTTCCGACCCAGTGACTGTAACACCCATCCACAAGTTTATTGGTCCGTCCGGAAAAGCCTCCCTCCGGGGCATACTGTCGGGCAGAAAGCCAGGAGAGGAGCAACGGCAGGTCCATGCACCTAATTAATCCTCTCAGTAGGGCGCTCCGGGGCAAAGGGGGATTGGAATCAGCGATTTACCTGGACACGGTGACTTCGGGTTGGCCGAGGATGCAGAGGCAGGCCAGTGCGCAGAACGCATAAGCCCCATGCGCCTCTGAACCAGGGCTCCCGGAGATCCCCCCCTCAAAGGTCTGGCCTATATGGTGTTATCAGTTGAACTACCCTGGGACAGACAAGGCAGCCAGTGATGCGATCACTTACACCGAGAAAGATACTCTGCGAGCCCACTGGTAAAGGTCTCCCGTCCGTGTTGCCGAGCTGCAGATTCCGCTGGCAAATCCAGTGGCAAGTCAAGAAGCGAGATGATCACCATGGCGCAGTAAGCGCCTCTGAAGTGGCAGTCAGTCGCATAACTCTTTAGGCTTCGATGAAAGAGAGCTATTACCGCACATCCTCTTCCCCACCCTCGCACATGGTGAAGCCCCCATCGCCCTGCTTCAACCGTCCTAGCCATCTCCACCTAATCCCAGCGTGAGCAAACGCTGTGACCCCCACGGGCGGGACGCGTTGGATAACTCACATTGCTTTTCGATCTATCAACCGGAAGGCATCTTCGCCCCCGACCATCGCCAGGGAAAGCACCACCGCGTAGCTAGACGCACAATGCGACATCTGACCGTGGCCGCCACCGAATCCACCGGTGGGGTTCTGCATCGGTCTAAACGTAGACAGGGCCCTGAAATCAAAGCGTTTAGAGCATAGCCGAGACGGCGGAGTGGATCGGCTCTGCGCCATCATCTTACCGCTCACGAACTCTCCGGGTGTCTTCCCCGAGCAAAGCCAGACCGGCCAAGGCCCAGTATGTCATCCAAGGGCGGCTGGCATCAAGCGACACAAACGTATCGGGAAAGTCCTCTAGCGAGTCATACAAGTAGGCGATGTGCTCGTCGCGGAGGAGTCCCGGAACGCCATGCCGATTGTACTGTTCGCTTTGGTTCCTGGTCGCCTTCAGGAAGGAAAGGCATTTTTGCACCGTCTCCTGCTGGAGGTCGGTGGTCTCGGTGGAGAGGGAGTCTCGGATCCGAGGCAGCTCTGTGAAGAGCGCCGGGACCCCGGGATGCTGCGCGGGGGACGACTCGGTCATGGTGGTGCGGCTCGACTGGGGCGCTCGATGCGCGGCCAACGGAGAGCTTTTTGCGAATGAGCTATGTTTGGATCCTTCAGCCGCAGGTGCTTGGTTGGTCGATGAGAAGCGAACTTTTCGGCGATGTCTCCCGGTCGCCGCAATAACGGGCATGGATTATGGGATCTTGAAGAGATGAGGATTTGGGGCTCACTCTCTTCGCGATTTGTATTTTAGAGAGAGAACAATTATATACGACTTTGTGGAGGGGTACTTTTTACTATTGTTCTCTGGTTGTCAATGGGGGGGGGGTGGTGGGCAGGAATGTTCATTCATTGTTCCCTGACGGAGGTGGGGTTCTCTCTCCCTTTCTAACCCGAGAGAGGTTCCAGTAGACTCTGTTTCTGCTACAACAGCAATTTCTTCTCGATTTGAAAAATGATGACAAATTGAAAGACTGGTCAATTATCCAGGTAGGCCTTCAGCTATGTGACATACTCAATATTCAACCGGGCAACAATTTCCAAACTCTGGCCAACCCTTCTGCTCCGGATAAATGAACCGAGGCTGGTCCCGTGATATATTCTTTCTTGCCTTGTTTTTCAGGCGAATTGCCTCCATTCTGACACCGGCTGATCCATTCTTTCTTTCTTCTCCTTCTCCATTGATTCTCTTTTCCTCTTCCCCCCTTTCTGCTGTTATAATACTATTTCATGAACTCTTCGGACATTTGTTCCAATTCAGACGTCGATCCAGTGCAAGTCTCGTCAATCAAGGATGCCAGCTTCGTGATCCGCGATGATCGTCTCATGAGGGGTGTAACCGAGACTTAGCATTTAGCAAGATACGGTACTTGATCAGTGCTGTTGGAGGGACCAGGTCGTAAATTACCACTAATCATCAGGTACGATATTAGTAATATCTGTATAGAATTATAGTTTAACTGGCAAGGTCATGATATTTCAAATACAGGCGTGGCCCCAGTGCGAGCCGGGCTGGGGTTGTCTGGAGGGGGCAAGGCTGGGGAGAAAAACTTGAATATTGAATAAATTGGCTGTATTTTGTGACGTAGGATTCTATCAAACTTTTGCGACTTTTTTCATCATCATGTCTAATCATTTTGCATCCACCATGTTCCGTCTCACTGCCCCAGACGTGTATCCTCAAGAGTCACGGACGATGTGCTCGGATCAAACAGCAACTCTCTGGGAGCCACATCCAGCTGCTTATTAGACCACACCGGTGACCCAACGCGAGCAGGATCCCAGTCAAGCTTGACTTTGCCGTCCACATCCCGTTCCCAGTCCCGAAGAGTAGGCAATCCAAGCCGACCCCATACCTCCACCACCGACGACAGCAGATGCTGTTGCTGTGCGGGAGTATGCGAGGCAGTCGGCGAGATGCGCAAACGCTCTTGTCCCCGAGGAACACTGGGATTATTGATCGGCTGGGCGTAAATTTGATACTCGTCAAACAGGATATCAGCGACCTGCTGACACTTTGCAGAGTCACCGACCATCAAGGGAACAATGTGTGACTGGTTGGGCAGGACGGGGAGCCCGTGCTCACGGAACGCCTTCTTGACAGCCCGCACATTGCGCTGTAACTCCATGCGACTCTGGGGGTTACGTCGCTGGAAGTCAATGGCCGCTTTAGCCCCGGCCATGATGGGGGGTGGCTGTGCTGTGGTGAAGATGAAGCCCGAAGACACAGATCGGATCATGTCGATGAGTGCCGCTGAGCCGGCGACATACCCACCCATTGTGCCGAAACCCTTGCCGAGTGCGCCAGCGAAGATGTCGATCCGGTCCATGACGGTTCCCTGTGGCCGTTCTGTGCGGTGGGCCTCGTAGTCGAGATGCTCTGCGACGCCAGCACCGTGGGGTCCGTACAGGCCGAGGGCATGGACTTCGTCAATGTAGGTGATAGCGCCGTACTTGTCTGCTAGGTCGCAGATTTTCTCAATTGGGCTCACCGTGCCTGGAAATCGAGCTGTTGGTTTTGTTGTTCGTTGTGAGCGAAGGGGGTAATCGACTCACCACACATGGAGTAAACAGACTCGAACACAATGATCTTGGGAGTGTCCTTTGGGATGGACTTCAGCTTGTTCTCTAGGTCCTCTAGATCGTTATGACCCCAGATCTTCTTCGATGCTCCAGAGTGACGGATTCCCTCGATGATCGAGGCGTGGTTCGATGCGTCGGAGAGAAAGACGCAGCCGGGAAGCTGAGATCCAAGGACCGTCAACGCACAATCATTGGCCGTGTACCCTGAGTTCAGATACAACGAGGCTTCCTTGTTATGCAACTGTGCGAGTGTATCTTCTAATGCGATAGCATGTTTATTGTGACCGGAAATATTCCGAGAGCCTCCGGAGCATGCTCCGTACTTGTCCAGCACTGCATGCATGGTCTGGATGACTTCAGGGTTACCACCCATTCCAAGCTAAAACAATAGGTTAGTCTCAACTGCAGAACCTTGATGTCTCATCCCTCCCTAAGGACACTCACGTAGTCATTGGTACACCACACATCTACCCGGCTTTGTTCATCGGCGGAATGGGCGTACGGAAACTCCTGTGCAAGACGGTTGACGTTTCGGAACCAACGGTAGGACTTGTCGGTCTTCTTGCGTGTTATCACGCTCTCATAGTGCTCCTCATACGGGAACCATTGCGGGCCACGAGAAGAAGGCCTAGAGACTGGCCGGAAAGGATCATGAGTGACCGTAGCTAAGACAACAAGTCAGCTCAGTTGGTAGCCGTGTATGAGGATGTGTGCATACCAAGGCATCGTCGAGGAAGAGTGGATACTACTTTGCCGGCCTTGATCACCGTATGGCACTGGGCTCGACGGAGAGTGCTGTGCGCAGTTGGGAGACGAAACATCTTGCTTGATTGTGCGATTGATTAGGAGTTCCAGGGCAGACATTGAGCCGCAATATATATCCGGTCTCATCAGCAATAGCGGAGCTTTCATTGTTCCAGGTGACATCGGGCAACGCCGTAGAGTGTTCAAAAAAGTAAGAAGATTTTGTAAGAGGTACATTATTCGAAATTTTGAGAATGCGATTTGTGTACTGAACAGCGGCAAATTCGTCAGCCTATGCCTCGCTCTTGATCTAGACTCCCTCTGGCACAGCGGCTAAATCTTCACGGGATGTGTCTCACCGATATATTCGCAAGGGGCTCGCTATAATCTCACTATCACGACATATGCTTCGGTAGTTGCAACCAGCAGGATTGTGTGCCTGTCACCTAACTATATAGGGGCTTAGTACGTTGCATACCTAGCGAGCACGGCATCAAGATTGGCTGGACGGGCCTGCATCTACGTTTCGAAAGGATCGTAGCGGCAGTCGACATGGTTCTGCAAGACCATGCAAGTAGCGCCACTATCTCTGATAAGCTGGTGAGATGAGACTAACTCAGACCTCGAAAATTCCATGCCAGCCTAGCCAGGTAGTTAGAGTGGGATCCCGATGTGTACGGGGCCCGATCTTGGGGCCATTTACTCCGTACTCGGTATGCGAAGCAGATGGAGTACGTACCGTAGTATACCCCACCGGGGTGGATTGATCTACACTAAAACGTATGTAGGGGACATCTTCAGGACATAAGGATGACTTCTAGGAGTGTAGTAACGAATCACGTCCGGGAAAGTAGTGCTGGTGCATCGGCCATCACGGGTCGGGCCAGACGCTGGTCATCCGAGAGCTAGCTCAGCTAGGGCATTACTCTATAGTCTGGACTGAGTACGGGATGGATAGAGACGGAAGATTCCGCCCATTCTGAATAGCCCATTGGCCGTTTCGCTCGCTTTTGAACCCCTGTCATAGTGTCGGTACCCTAAAGTTGCCGTCGGCTTAGCGTTGGCTGTGCGATGGATATCCACCAAACTAAAGCTTTTTTGGTGCCCCCATTTTATTAGAGGACATCGGGCGCCAACCCTAGTTTGGGGGCGTCCGTTCACCGCGATCATACCCTACCTCTCTCACTATCCCCCATATGTACTAACTACCACCGGACTATCTTCATTCGTTTAGAGAAGCAATCATCCCATGGTCTCGCTGGTCAACTACAGGCCTGTCTCTCTCTCACCGGGCTAGCAGCTGGGCGTGGTTCAGACTAGTGCTCGGCGTGGTCCAGAACAGAGCTGGAAAAATACTCGGCATGGTTCACGAAGTAACTTGTCTAATTAAGAGGATAACCATAATTTGTATTATACTCGGCTATATTCCCCTCATCTAGAATTGCCTGTACAGTCTCTAAACGTACCCTGCGTAGAGCCCCAAAAAGCGTCCATGGAATCCTACTAGAACCTTACTAGATTCTACTAGACCCTACTAGACACAGGGACTCTATATAGCTGCTTTACAAGGCTATGCACAGACACTTTTGAAAACGCTTAATGCGGGTATTTCTAAAGAGCCTAAATTCCTGAACTATACTCAGCATATGTGAGACAGTAGCTTGGCATGATTTGAAAAATTCAGTGCAATTTTCTGAACCACGCTGAGCACTAGTCTGAACGACGCTCAGCTGTAACCCGTCTCTCACCAGTCCCTTTAACCCAAGTGGGCCTCTGATGTGACCATGATTTCCCGCGGAAAGAAGTCCCGCCCTGTTAGATTCTAATAAACTCCCCTGTAGACGGTGAGAGAAAAAGTTTCAGTATGGATGCTCTCGGCTTCCTCCGTTCAAGATAGTCGAGTAGTATCCGTTACCTAATGCTGCCGTCCTAAATTGCATACACCTTCGAGGCAGTTGATATCACTCATCGGGTCCAGAATCAGTTTGAATTGCACATCAAGTATCAACATCCAGTTTAAGCCACTCGTGGGTCGTCATCTCTTACACCCGAGTCAAAATGGCGACAGAAAGGAAAGAAGCTCACGAGGAGGTCCCTGTGGCCGTCTCCGAGGAGGATGAGGCAGGATATCGCATGGATGGAGGCTTGCAGGCCTGGCTACAGGTCTTGGGTAGCTGGATCCTCTTCGCAAACACCTGGTGAGTCTTCTCACCGTGCTCGCAACTGGTGATGACCATGTCCATCTGATCGTCACTGTCAGGGGTCTAACCAACTCCTTTGGAGTCTTCGAGACATACTACTCCCACACCCACCTCCCAACCTCTAGTCCCTCTGCTATATCATGGATCGGCTCTATACAGCTATTCCTCACCATGTTGGTGGGTGTTTTTGCGGGTTGGTTCCTGGATGCTGGCCACCTGCGCATCCTGCTCATCATGGGAACATTCCTCGAAGTCTTTGGGATGTTCATGACATCGCTTAGCACCACATACTGGCAGATTCTCCTCGCACAGGGAATCTGTGTTGGGCTCGGTAGTGGGCTCTTGGGACTTACATCGGTGGCCGTGATCCCTCTGTACTTCTCCAAGAAGAGGATGATCGCCACCGGCATCGCTGCCACTGGCAGCAGTCTGGGTAAGCGACGCTCATTCTCACTGTCTATACTATTATATGACTATCATGAGAGTGCTAATCATGAAACTGCAGCCGGAATTATCTACCCGATCATGCTCCGTCGACTCTTCGTCCAGATCGGCTTTGCATGGGCTGTACGAGCCCTGACCTTTCTCATCCTGGGATGTCTGATGATTTGCTGTGCAGTCATGAAACTGCGTCCGCGTCCGCGCAGAGCAACCGCCTTGATCGAATTCAAACACTTCCGAGATCGGTCATATATGGCTTTCGTTGCGGGTATACCCCCTCATCCCCTGTTTACCATTTCTTCTGCGTAGACTAACGCCTGCCAAACAAACAGCATTTACCCTAATGATTGCCTCCGTCTACGTCCCATTCTTCTACATCCAGCGATATGCCCTTTCGCTGAACGTCAGCGAAGACATGTCATTCTACCTCCTCAGTCTCATGAACGCAGCTAGTCTGGTCGGCCGCATAGGCCCAAATTTCCTCGCAGACCGGTCAGTACCGTACCGAATCATATTCTCCACAACATCAGACTCACCATGTCACATCTAGATTCGGAGGCGTCAACATCATGGCCCCATCTTGCCTCTTCTCAGCCGTTATCCTATTCGTATGGAGGTTCTCCCACGATATTCCCGGTCTGATCGTGATTTCTCTCATCTACGGTCTTGTATCAGGCGGCATGGTTTCTCTCCCTCCAGCCACGATTGCAAACCTTACCAGTAAACAGTCGGAGCTGGGCGGGAGGATGGGTCTCGCCTACACCATTGCGGCGTTTGGTGCGCTGATCGGGAATCCGATTGCCGGTGCTTGTTTGCGTCCGTCGGGGACTGATGTGTCTGATGTGCAGAGTGAGTATCAGGGAACGTGGATCTTCGCTGGGGCGTTCATGATTCTATCTACTGTTTGTGTGATGCTGACGAGATATCTTCGGTTCGGGTTTGCGTTGGATGTGAAGATTTGAAATCTACGGGGTTGGCGGTGTCGGTGATTTGGTATGACTATGTTCTATCGGTGAAGAATGATAGACTAAATTTTGAGCACGATACATTGGGTTTCCTCGAGTGGAATTGCAGTGATGTATATATACCCTGGGAGATATAGTATAGAGGATTGAAATGCCACGCCACAAGGTCTTACAACTATAGAACAAACCAAAACAACAAGTGAACACCCTTAGCAATTATTACAGTTTTACAAGCAGTAAAATGGTAATAATTAATTTAATCTTAAACCGACATGCCAATATTCTCAAAAACCATGCATAAGATGAAGGAATGTAGTGACTGAATATAATATGTGATAAACTAGCAAGACATGTAACTAAATAGTCATATCAGAGACTAAAATCATGATTCTTGTAATTCGAACCGATACTAGGAATGAGACGTAGAAGATATCATAATATAATTATATGACGAGGGCGCGCCTCTATAACTATATAACCTCCTAGGGGGTGGGCCCGCCGGCAGACACTCATAGAGCCCGCCAGGGCGTTAATAAATACTACTACTACTACTACTACTACTACTACTAATAGCTTTGATAACCACACCCCATGTCTTCCTATACAATACTTTTGTCTTGCTATTGCGCTTTTATTTTTAGATCTATATTTCTGGGCTGAGGTGCTAATCTTTATAAGCAAATTTCGTGAATTTCTGGAATAATTGAACCTAATGGTTACGGTTTCCCATTTCTGATGATTTCCGCATGCTGACTGGATATCATAGAATCAACATAGTCAACCATGGTCCAATACCCGGGCCAGCCGTCATAACTGCCTTCCTAACTTAGGTTTCCCTGCCTTTATAAGCAACCAGATCCCAGGTTCGTGGGCTTTGAACTCTTGAACCCCAACAGAATGGAGTCCACCAGCCAAATTTTCGGAACACTCCAATGACCTTGTCGAGAAAAACACTGAGTATGCGCATGGCAATCCTCAGGGGAACGCCCCCCAGGGGGAGCGGCTTATCGTCTTGGATAGGGACTTGCTTCCTGATATGTTCCATGTTAACAACCTGCGTGTTGTTCCCCGGAGGGATCTTCTGGAGAGAGTTTTGAATACGATCAGGGAGCAGTCTCTCCTCGCCCAGAACGAAACGCCTCACTTATGTGTCTTCATATTCGGCCATAGAGAAGATAAAACTTCATCATCAGTGTTTATCGGTGAAGAGCGCTCTAAAGATAGCAGGGCAAGGCTATCAATATCAAATCTAAGCAGACTGCTTCCGACGGTATTAGCAGCGACCCTGATGATCAAATCATGCTACTCTGTAGGGTGGCTTATTTACTCGAATTTCGCCGGTCGCAAAGCCCTCTTATTGTGACCGGTGTTGCTGCAGCAAGTGATAACAAGCCATCCTATTCTTGGCTTATAAGTAGAAGCATAGGCCGTGCAGCTCCGGTTTTGCCTGCTCTGTGGGCGGGGGATCGTGTGCACTAGACCTTTCCTACTACTTGAACCAGATTTCATCACTGCAGCATGTAAAATTTTGGTCTGTATACAGAATGGTATGGAGACAAAATCTCGCGGAGATATAACAGCCGACAGTATCCAGTATCATTGATTTTGAACTTAGATTCCAGTCAGACTTCTTGAGTACTATGAAAAATAGGAAACCATCAGGCCTCAGCAAACGATTTTTGATGACTCGACATCAATCGTTAACAATGCCGCCCACGGTGCAGCCTCTTACTTGATTGCCAGGCGGTACAACGCGGCAAACCCCCATCGCGCGCATGCGCGACAAAGCCAAAGAACGAATTCTCTCATCGTATACCACCACTTCCCTCTCAGTATCTCTCTAACCCCCTCCTCACGACCCTTTCCCCCCGTCTCACCCTCCTCCTCATAACGCTAGAACTCTCGGAAGAGTCACATCCATGGACCCGTCCTCTGAGAAGAGGAAGATCATGGAGCTACGCACTAGCGGTCTTATATAGTTCAGCGGACGAGGGGAGGGCGGAGACGGGCGGCAGATCCGCGCAGGGTGTAGCGCAAGAGGCTAAACCCGACCGGGTGGAGGTTAAACCGTATGGGATGACCACGGGATGGGCGCTGAACCCGCGCGGGAGGGTTGCTGAAAACACCGCGGCCTCCCTGGTAAATGTGAATTGTACAGTAAATCTCGATTACGTGCGACCACGCTGGCGTGGCCAACTGCGAGTCAGAACCAATTGATGCCACGATGGGATGGAGGTGTCTCAAGGCAGGCAAATAGGATCCGACGGTGGTTGTTCCTGGTGGAACCCACGGGCTTCTCCCCGTTGAGTCCCCCCCCTCTATTAGACATGCAAAGGGTTTCTTTTTTTCCTGGTGGCTAGCTGACATCCGTGTGTCCCCCTTCCTGCAGCAATTAAGAGGGAAGGAAGGGGAGCGAGCCAAGCCCTGCTGTTGTTGCCTCTTTGACTTTTCCCCATGCATGCCCCGTGGAGGATGTACCCCAAGTGCCCTGGCGTTGTCATCACCGGCGTGTCTTGCAGGTGTGTTGAGGGACCTGTATCTGATCTATCACTCTCTTTTCCTTGCCCCTTTGACTCGGTGGATGTTGGCGGCTATCATTTCCTCACTGACCGACCAACGCCCCTTGCTATTTTTAAACAATCTACTCCATACTTCGTACCGTCATTGTTTCCCAGTGGAAGGGCCCGAGCCGAGCAAGAAAATACACACAGGCCCTCCAGAAATAGAGAAGTGGAGACAAAAGCACGGGTTTCCCTCGGTGATGGCTATGACAGACCCATCTCCTCGCTGGCAGGGCACAAACAGGTATTGTGAACGAGAAGAGTGTGTAATCGGATCCAGGCAGCAGACCTCGTACAGGAAAAGTCGTACCAACCCATGGAAGCCGCTTATCATCCCACATCGGACTCACGGATTGTTCCATGATCAGCAGCATCAACGGATTGTTTAGGTTCGGATGTTCTGCCCTGTATGGTGGTGTATTACGGTCGAAATGGAGCTACTGCAGCGTCAGCAACCTTGAGAGCCACGAAGCCAACATGTGTGCCTCAATGGTTAGGTAGTTGGTCAGGGATGGAAACGCTGCTGACTCTCCACCGGGCCATGACCATCGCCTGTCGCGCTTCAGACCTTGACAATTGGCTCGTTGTCGATAGAGTAGTGACTAGAGACTCGGGGAGAACTAGCTTGTTGGAGTAAGCAGTGGTCCCTCAAGGGCCGTTTAGTAATTTAGTAACGGGGAGATCATCAGTCGTTATTTTGATTCTTGCTTTTTTCTTCATCACACTGTGATCAACTAGTCTAGTCGAGAATCCCTGCAAAAGCATTCCGATGCAGTAAAGTAAGATGGGCAATGGTGAAGTCGCACAATATACCATACCATACATGCTGTACCATACTGTACTGATACCGTCATCGGCGCGGCCGGCCGAGACCACCACCTATCAAAACTACCTGCTTACTGAGAGGAAAGGTAGCTAGTAAGTAAGTACTAGGTAGGTAAGTTACTAGAATAATAAATATTTCCACGCCCGTTAATCCTTCCAACCGATCTCAACGGAGCCCACTGATCTCCCCTCCCGGCGATGCTTGCCGTGTCGCATGGACGGAGAAATCCGTCGCTGTACCGTGGTTACTCCCAGGGAAACGTGGACTGTAACCAACAACTTTCATCCCTTTAATCGGATGGTTCCATGGGTTCCATGGGTTCCAGTGATCGAGGAATGTGTATTATGACAGGGCACGCTATGATCATCGATCAGGAATGCTTACCCACACGAACAGGACCCCGACAGGGGTGGCGTGTGTGTGGGATACATGGATACATGGGTCCCCATTACCGGTTGTGATCTTTTTGGGCTTGGAAGGCGCCACACTACTAGATTAGTATTACCGTCCTTGTCCAGCAATGCATGCACAAGGCGGATTTAGTAGGTATTGGATCCATCTCAGTTCCCCAACCAGTTGAAACGCCTCATTGATGATCCACTCTTTGGAGATCGGGGACGAGAATCATGAGACTTGTCAATCTTGATGGTTATACCGGATTGGGATGGACGGTATTCTGGATGTCACGGGCAGACCGTGAACATGATGGAATCAGTCATCCTGTTACCCTGTTGGGGGAGATGGATAATATAAGAGCCTCCGGACTGAATATAGTAGAAGGTAAGTTCTACTCCGTACACCAAGGTATACCTAGATACCTAAGTTTACCTGGTCCAGAAGATACCCAGGTATGGATGAAGCCTGCAGTAATAAACCAGTATGATACCGTCAAACATACCCATTCCACCCCACTTCCTCTGATAGCTGGCTGATAACTCTCGCTCAGGATCCCTAGCGTATCTCCAGCCGACGCAACTTCCGCCTCACCGCTGCTTTGCTTCTCCTCCTCTTCCTCCACTCTCTCTCTTCCCCCCCTCCCCACCCACCGCTTCTGTCCACTTTCCATCCTCACCCACTTCTCTCACCTAACTTCTAACCTCTTGAGCGGAGACCTTTACTCAAACGAAACAATTCACATCAACAAATCCACTGACTATTCCTTTTTCATCTTTACGACTTACGATTCATGTACGACTAACGAACGAACCCGTGCCAATGACCTGATCTAAACTATTCCCCATTCTATCCATCCTATCCATTCTTCTCTCGATTCCACCCTCAAAAAATACAGAATACACATAATCATAAAAAAATAAAAAAAATCCACCCTCTAGTCGCCCGGGTTCTGGGCTTACTGCTCCTCCGAAGCCCTTCAACTTTCCTCAGGCTTCGCTGTCAGTCATCTTTCTCCAGTTTCATCCTCTTCTTCATTTGTTTTTTTTTGTACCACTGACTCACCCATCTTGTCTGTCTATCTTTTGATATTTCCCCCCTTTCCTTTTCACGATTTGATTGTTTATTTTTTATGATTCTTGTTTTCTCTTCTCTCTCTTTTTTTTGATTCATGCGATTTTCTTTTGGGTTATCTCCTCTTGTTTCGTAAATAGTCCGTTGGCATCATGTCAAATGTCGATATATCTAGCGATGGCTTCATTGGCCTCGATTATGACTCCAGAAACTACCTCCAGCCGCAGTCATGGCCCGTGACGGTGGATCACCAGGCCTCGCAACGAGCCGATGGAGCACGAGATGTTGCGCTACAAACTAGCGGTCTCCCCTACGAACAGTCGGTATCGCAGGACCCTAACCTCATGGTCGACTGGCAATTTCATGCCCTGCAACCCCACCTCCAGTACTCTCCCGAGGAGGCCTCGTCCGTCCCACAATTCACCACGGCCAGCTATGGCATGTCCATCCAGTCGTCTCCCATCGATCTGATGTCCAATTCGCAAGGTCAGATGAGCACCAGCCTCTTGGGGGGCTCCTATCTGCCGCTCTCGCCCCCCGTCGACATGAACCAGTTCCCCTACCATGATTTCCAGGCGGACCTCATGCCCTTCCCTGACGCCGTGGGCGATGTCTCGTCGTATGCGGCGCCGCACAATGTCATTGACAGCAGCTCCCCCACGGACACCGCTCTCGAGGTGCGCTCGCTGTCCAGCAGTGACAACGGCTGGTGTGCGATTGAACCCCGCCACTCGCACGAGTTCTCCTTCCCGGACCAGGGCTTCTTCATCAACCCCAGCCAGACCCTGCACGACCGGAGCCTGTCGGAGTCCTCGTATTCGACCTCCTACAGCAGCTTCATCGATGTCACGAACCCGGTCAATTCGCCCAGCTCGGACACCAACTTTGAGTCGGCCTTCAACACCATGAACCGACGCGTCTCGTTTGACCACACCTCCCATGGGTCCCAGTCTCCCGCCGCGGTGAGCCCCGTGGCCATTGCCCGCCCCATTCCTGTGCCCGTCCCAATGAAGAAGCCGTCCTCGCCCGCCCGGTCCGCCGGCTCCCAGGCGTCGTCCGCTTCCCCGCCCAGCCGCAAGCCGTCCCGGAAGAGTCCCATCGCCGCCAAGTCGGAGACCAAGATCCGCAAGCACTCGCAGAGCGGCAAGCCGGAAACCGAGAAGCGGGTGGGCAAGCGCAAGGGCCCGTTGAAGCCGGATCAGCGTAAGCAGGCCAGCGAGATTCGCAAGCTGAGAGCCTGCCTGCGCTGCAAGTTTTTGAAGAAGACTGTAAGTTCCCACGTCCCAAGCGTCCCGTGGTTCGTCGGCTGATGGTGTTCAATCAGTGTGACAAAGGCGAGCCGTGTGCCGGATGCCAGCCTTCCCACGCCCGCCTGTGGCAGGTTCCCTGCACCCGAATCGATATCAAGGAGATCGGGTACTTCATGAAGGATTGGAAGGCGGACTATGAGCGCCACATGAGCCTTGGGTTCTCCGTCGGGAACATCAAGGGGTTCTCGGACCACGAGCGGACGCTCTTCATCACCCACGGTTATGGTCAAGTCCTCCCGATCAACGCCCGCGAAGTCTACGTCCGGGACGAACAGTGCTTCAGCGTCGACTGGGTGGAGTCGATGCACCGGGAACCGACCCAGTACGAGGTGGAAACCGCCAAACTCTCGGCCGGAATGGAGGGCATCTCGCACGCCCTGCTCTCTGACTATCTGGACCGCCACATCGATGGTAACGGTACATTCGAGAAGTTTGTGGACGACTACTTCGAGGGCACTCCGTTCCTGACCCAGATGCTGAAGACCGCCTTCCGCTACTACTTCCGCACCAAGCTGCCGGTCATCCGCAAGGCGCTGAAGCTGGTCGTTGCCTACAACCTGACGCTCCATGTCACCATGGTGGAAGGCCTGGGCGATGAGGAGGGGCTCTCCGGGAAGATCAATAGCGGGTCAAAATTCTCGGGCAAGACCATGGCCCCAGTGATGATCAACTTCCAGATCAAGTGCGCCATGGCCAACATGTGGCGTGAGTTGCAGAAGGATGTTCTGGAGGAGCTCTCCGGTCTCTACTCGAGTGTTTATAGCGGGGACAAGCTGAAGAACTGGCCTACCATCTTTATCCTGGCGTCGATCCTGCTGGCAGTGTGGGAGGAGATGCAGTTCGACAGCCACTACCGTACACCGGTAAGTCACGGGAACACCCGTCCTTCGATCGTCGTAATACTGACTCAATATGATAGGATGCTTCCGCCGTGGATAAGTTCTGCACCGATATGGAGACCACCCCGGTTGGGGTTATCGTCGGCCTCTTCCAGGCCATCTCGCAGAAGCTGCCCGCCTTCACCGATTGGGAGACGCAGAAGCACCATCATCTGCTCCATTCCAATCCCGACGTCTGCAACACGATGACCGAGGTCCGCCAGCACGTGACGCAATACGGTAAGGCGCTTTGTTGTTTCCTTGATGTTTCCTCCCAGACTGATGTCGTTGCAGAGACCTACCTCCGTAGCCGCTCGGGTTCGAAGTTCAACCGAAACGACTTCGACTGCTTATCGAACAAGTTCATCTCCCGCCTCGTGATCCGTGCGAACTAGGTGATTTTGACATGACGACGGTCTGTTGCAATTTTAAAACCTTTCCGAAACAAATGAGTCATGGCTCCAGATGGCATGCCCACGAGACGATCCAATGATATATGCCGGCATTCATTCACGATTATGAGATTTTCAATCAGCCATTAACGACGACCGTCATTATTTTATCCACCAAACCGTATCTATCAGCTTTTGCTTTTTTCCTGTTTTCACAATTTGTTATGTTTTTAACTTCGGGATTGGTTTCATTTTGTTTTGTTTTCTGTTATTTTCGCAAATTCTTCAGCGTCCGTCCTTTCCTTTTGATCCGATTTCGATCTCCGATTGACGACGTTCCTTACGTTTTCCCCCAGTGATCTGCCTTTCTCTCGCAAAGTATCTACCACCAGCGATGATGAGGTTCACGAATGTCATGATATGTATGGTCACGAAATGTCTACAGCAGCAGCGACGAGCGCAACTGAGTTGGCGACACGTGCGGGAGACTAGTTCTCGTGTGAAGCTGCTGCTTTTTTGCATTTGTGTCCGGTTGAGCGTGTTATTTTTTATTTTCTTTTCTAAATTATTGTTTTTCGTCCCAGTGGAGGAAGGACTTGGGGTTGCGTCTTGGTATTGGTGTCGGCGACTCCCGAGAATGAGGGGGACCAAGGCGTCGAGGGGAGGGTGTGTGTTTACGATTTTGAAGAGGTGTGCACGCATGCATGCTATGTTTATTTCTTTCTTTTCTTTTGATTTTGTCTTTGTTGATCTTTGCCAT